GTTCGATTAGAATATATATACTTTGTGGGGTCTGAGGTGTCTCCTTTACTGCGTTGCAAATTATATACCCTCGTCAAGGGTATAAAAAACTACAAGCCAAGGCGACCATTACGACCATTGATGAATAAAAAAAATAATTAATAAAGATATTTTTCACAGCTTATTATTTCCTTTAAATATACAAAATTGGATACCATTTGAAGTGATGATGCACAGCATCCTCCTTTTCATCTCGAATGCGGGAAGTTTTAGAAAAAATCTCAACGCACTAAAAACATTTTTTTTAAATGTAGTATAAATGTTAACAATATCTAATTCATATAATTTATAATTCATTTTTAATTTTTCTGGATTGATTGGTTTAGTAGCAATAAACTATAAAAAAAATCGACTCTGTCAGCTATTTGATATATGTAGTCGTCTGCTTTTTCTAGAATTCATTTTGTTTCATGATTTTATATAAGTTATTCGATCTTTACATTTAGACAGACAGTTTACATAGAAAGAGACAAACGATCTGTATCTATTCAGATGGTGGTGCCCATCCAGATTATATGTCATTTATGGGGTCTAAGGTAACAGCTGACATCATAGTAAATCAGAATTCGAAAGGGAATTTTACACTGAATATCCAAACGAATTTTTTACATAATTGAGGCCAGATTTACAAATACGCTTGCGCTTCCGTAGCTTAAAGCGAGTTGGCAGCAGCAAAGTATTCAAAATTGTGTCAAAAAGCAGGCAATAAAAATCGTGCGTATGACAAAACGGAACAAATATAAGAGCAGATTGTTATAAGTTAAAATTGCCTTAACTTATACAATTGCCCTAACTTAAAATTACGACGACAGGTGTCGCTTTCTTACGTTATACCCAATTCAAGTTGGAAACTTGATTCCATCAACCAACCAACAAACCGTTATACAAAAATCTCATCTTATATAAATCTAATCTTAATATATTTTCTGTTGTACTCTTATCAGAATAAAAATGTTTTTAAAAATATGCATACATATGTTATAAGAATTGTATATTACTAGATTTAATCAAAGCTAAAAACTTTTTAAATAAGCATATTGAACAAACAAATAAAGTTACAAATTTTAGTGCTGCCCTTCACAACAATTTGAATGTTTTTTTAAAAATAGTATATAAAATATAATGAAAAATATGGCCTGGAATTTAACTCGTATTGCAAAATTATATGAATGTCAAGTCGTACAACGCCATCTATGTATTATTACACCAAGCTCAGCTGAAATATTTTTGACGAAAGTATTTAATTCAAAGCGTTTTCACGATGTAAACGCCACCTATTGCTCGTTCAAAATTAAATCTAAAAAATATTGTTATGATTCTTTGCAATAAATTATGCTTCCTAAGATGTTTTATACACACAAATATACCATTTTTTTACTTACGGAAAACGGAGCTAACCCAATTGTTTTGAATGTTTTTTTAGAAGTACGTACGATACATATAGCGTAGAATAAGAGCGTAGATCATATAAGGGCTTGAAACAAATAATAAATCAAAGATTGCTTACAAAAACAAAGAATTCAAGCTCTAAAGAAATTTTACAGTTGTAAGATCCATTTACTAACACTTATGTATCTTGCTTATAGGTTTGGATTAATAGAATTAATTTTAATTGATTCATATTCTATTTGATTTTGTATATTTCGTTATAATGTATGTAGGAATGAACAGTGTGTTTCTTATATCTTTAATCGACATAAGGTATACCAATCTGTTGAAGAATTAAATAAAATTTAAGTAGCTGATGGAAATTTTGTAGGATCAACTGCTATTTATTGAAAATGTGCAAAACTGGTATTGGGATTTTGATTAACTTTATTGACCTAAAAGTGTGCTGCACTTCCTATATTTCCTAATTTAATACTAAAATACATTCAACAAATTAAGATTGCATACTTTGGCGCGAGAATTTAAATTCATATAACAAATAAGAAAACGGAGTTTAAAAAAATAATCCTAGACGTTATTCTAGTTATAATAAAAAAGTTTTTATTTAAATGAAAAACTAAATAAAGGAAACTAAACTCATACTTTTGATGAGATGATTAATGACAAGTCCCCCCAAAAAATACATATATTCGTAGGTTTATGAAACAACGAATCTTAAAGAAAAGAGTCAAAAATAGTTTCCCGTTTGGATCTTCTGGGAAACAGGTTTTTGGTTTTAAATTTCTGGCCCAATGAGCAGTGTTAAAACTTTAAGGTTTAACATAAAATTAACAACTATTAAAGCGCCATCTATTCACGTTCGACGTAAATGTTTCGTTTGAAACAACTTCTTGAATGTTGTTTTGTCAATACCCAGGATGTATTCCTTGTTAAGATGTAGACAAAAATTATATTTTTTCCACACCCCGTAACAATGACACTATTCGATTTTTGTATTTGTATAAAATACAAGAAAATATATTAAAATATTATTGTAGAAGGGCGTTGGAGAATTCTGTTTTTAGCTCTACTCATTTCGTTTCAGAATTTATCTATATCTAAATCGCATTTATTAAAGGGTTGTAAAATCTTAAAAATCTGCAGTATTCACAATGTGCTTACACTAAAAATAGTCTCTTCCTTAAAGAGCTAACAGCAAAAAAATATAACATAATTATTACAATTATAATTATTATTATTATTACAATTACAAGAAATACTAAATATGGGAAACCCAAAATTATTGTTCACAGCTAGATGGCGTAAATTGCTTTCGTTTCCATGATGCACTTCCATGGATACTTTTAAATGAGATACTAAAAATGTATTTATGTAAATTGTAAGTCATGTAGAAAACCAAGTATCAAGAGCTGTACAATTTGACGAACTGAAATGGGTGAACTTTTATGTCCTCCAAAACACTAGTTCCGGATAACATTTTCCTGCTTACGGAACTCTTGTAAGGCACTCTTTGGAAAATGGGAACAGAAGCACGCCGGCAGATGCCCCTTTAGTAAAAGTTTAAAATATGTACAAAAATAAGTACCTTTTTTTGTATTTATTCGGATTACAAAACTTTATTCACGATTTCTTATCAAACAGTGCAGAATCTATATTTTAAAACAATATCTTTAGATTAATAATAACTACGTTTTTGCTATATTTTGGAAAAAATGTTAATAAATTGGTATTCTCTAACCAACATTTTTCCAAAAAAAACATTATAATATTACATATTATTGCATATTTCAAGCGTTAAGTATGAAGTAATGAAAGATGTTTTATATTTAAAATAAATTCCGATTTTGTTCTCTTCCGCTGGTATTTGCACCTTTAGCGCCATCTATGGAGCTTAATCCGCTGAATGATCAAACGTAAATCTGTGCTGCAGCCCTGGCATATGTCGGGTAGATCAGGTTCCACTGTTCAGTTCAAAATTCGGACTGACAGAATTCGGATATGCCAACTTGAAAAAATTGTGTAAAATCAAAGACTTTGAGTTTACTTAATACATACACAAAATGTATTTTTAGTCGAGGAGTATTTTTGTATATTTTTGGTCTGATTTACACCAATAAGTATGAAGGGTATAAGAATTTATTATTGGAATGTTCAACTTCCAATTGGATATTTGTACTTCTGACCTGTGTTATCAGAAAACAAGGCGAAACAAAACTTGCAAAGATTAAGTGTTTTTCCCTATATAACAATTTATTAGCTTATTAAAAATGTTATACGCAAGGGCTAAAACTGATCTTTTGTACCGACACTTTGTCAGATTAGTAAGACATTTCGTCATTATTAAGGAATTATTTAAATATCGTTTTTGGACGTTGCACACAAAAACAATTACATACTACAGTCGACTCTCGTTAATTCGAAACTCGAGGGACTCTTGAAATATTTCGAATTATCGAGTGTTTGAAATATCAAATGGTTCGAAATTTTCGAAAAAACTTTGTTATACTGGCTTGCTTTAAAGCACAATTCTGCTGCTCACACTGCTCAATAACTTTTTTAAGAGAAAAAGTGCCTGAAATACTTTTTCATCACTTTCATTTTGTAGACATAAGCTTTGTAAGGTATCAAATGAGGATCTTGCTTCCTTAACTGACACCTCTGCCAAAGGTTCTTTATACTTTCTAGGGCTCATAGCTAACACTAACTTTTAATATGCATACCAACGAAAGAGTAACAGTAACTGAATAACTACACAAACCAATTCGTAAGAAGTGTGTGCGTCAAAAACTACATAATCAAAACAAAAACAAAGGCAAGTTTGAACTTGTCGCAAAATTTTTTCTCTGCAACTTTGAATTGTCGAGTGTTAGACGCTGATGAGTTCGAATTAACGCGTGGTTTTGTTAAATATCAATGATTTTTTCGTTCGAATTACCAAGTGTATGAAAATGCATTGATTTAGTTCGAAATATAAAGAGATTTCGTAGGGACCTCGTGATAACTTTGATTTATAGAGAGGTTCGAATTATCGCAGGTTTGAATTAACGAGAGTCCACTGTATATATCACTTATATAGTAATAGCCTTATAGTAAGCAATATACCTATAGAGAAAAGGGGTATGCTGACTTTCTTAAGGGGTTAGGCCACTGTAGAATTTTCGGTAAATAATTTCTTTAAATTATTTTTTATAATGTCACCGGCGAGCCTAAAAATAATGTCCTAAAAAACTTGTAGCCGGGAAAAGTGTCTATTTTCCTCTCCTTCAAACGCGTATTAAATCGTTTTTCTTGATTTTCAGAAATGTGCCACTAAAAAAAGAAATCTGCCAAGTGCCAGTTACTGTAATACAAAATTGAAATGTTGTACAATTTGTAAGTTCACTGTTACTAGGGTCTTCCAGATGATTTGCCAGAAACCTTTGACAGGCAATAAAATAATCTTGCCTAGCGATCTAGATCTTGACCGTATAAACTGGCAAAAAGAGTGTTAAGGGGTTCTTGAGGGACAGTCATAAAATAAAGCTTAAAATGATCGATTTAACGATCTACCTTGCTTAGGATTCAAAGATTGGTTCACAGTTTCACCACATACATTTTAATACTTGGTTCATAGCGTTACAGAGTAGCTTACACCTAAATACATATTATCTTAAGCTAACGAACTAGAATCTTGGATATTTAAGCTTAATCCACGTAGAATTGCTCGATAGGAACGTTCTTCAGAAGCTGGTTGGCGAGTTTGCCGAATTCAGTGGCCAACTTTTTCTGCAGTTGCGCCTGCATGGCCTCCAAAACGACTTGGGAGTTCTCGCGCAAGAAGAGATTGGTGGCCTCCACTAGAGAAGAAAAAGGGTTTCAATTTGCATACTTGGTAACAAAAAAGATTAAGGCACTCTTACGCAGAATACGGTTGTTGTTAAACGCTCCCGAGATGCTCATTTTAACGTCCTTAACGTCCAAAACCAAGCTGAGGGCATCGATGTGCAGGTAGTTTCCGCCCTTGGCCGCGTGAATCGATGTCTTTCCGGTGAGATCAGCGGTCACGCCCTCGAAGTTGGCGTGGAAGTCCCCGCCTCCGGAGGCCGGCAGGATCAGCAGGACCCCCGAGCTGGTGTACTTGGCCTCGATCTTCAGCTTGGGCATCACGATCTTGGCCTTGAAGGGCTCGCTGCCTTCGCTCAGCTTGAGGGACTTCACCTGGAAGTTGCTCGCCCCGAAGGCCTCCATGTTCTTCAGCGTGATCTTGTATCCCTGAGGCCCCTCCGTCAGCTGCAGGGCCAGAGTGTCCATCTTGAAGGGCTCCACAGAGGGCAGCTGATGAGGGAAGGCGGAGAGGGTAATTAAGATTTACTCAATAATTATTTTATATATTGTTTGCCGTTGCAGAGCGAATTATAGTTTGGGTAGGAAGTTTGCAATGAAGTTAATTATTGAGATGGAACAGAAAAATAATTGCATAATTGATTTGTTATTCGTCTTTAGAGTGCTATAATTTGCAGGTATTTTGATATAATTACAGGAAAATTATTTGTTTAAACCGGTCGATACTACAATAAGAACAATAAGAATATAATGCCAAAATTTAATTATTTTAATTAACACTGACTCAAATATATATTTTTTTGGTAAGTCAGTTTGAATAAAAATCATTAATATTCATTAATCTTTTCCCAACGTTAAATTGATTGATTTCACTACCATTTATTTCTAGCACTCAATTTTGTAATAAGCAAGAACATTTATTAGAACTGACAAGTTGGTCAGTTCGTACATTACTAAAGTTCTGTCAAAATGGTTTTTAATTGAGGATGAATTGGAATTTCTTTGGCTTTTTGCACCACTGTGCATAGAGTACACCATTCAACTTCCGGTGTATTTTCCCGCGAAAACTCATTATGCAAGTGCGAAAGTCCCAGTGACTTTCATTGCATTTGCTTCTTACGCAACTGCAAACTTGTTTGCAAAGAAAAACTCGGGACGAAAGTCACTTACCTGAATATCGGCAATGCCATTGGCCAAGTAGGGCTTCAGGTGTTCAATGGCTCCAATGAAACAGTCCACCAACTTGGGGTCATCCCTCCGGCATTGTTTGATATACGCAGCTGTAAAAAAAAGAAAATATATTTAGTTTATAACTTAGTTATATAGCTGTCCTCATGAAAATTTGTTAAATTATAGATTGTTTTATTGGTTTCGATTGCTTTAAAATATGAAGCAATTATATTTAGTACAATTAAAATAACAGCTATTCCCAAAGATCAAAATGTTTACGTTATGAAAATTATAGTTTCCTTTTTTATGAAACCAGATACTGCTAGAAATAGGATCAAATATAATTTACAATACCTCTTTAGCCAACAGTTCTAAATAAAATTCAAAACCGAAAACGCAATAAAAGAGATTTTTATATTGACATTTTAAAGTACTTTCTGATATCTCATAGATCGTTGTATTAACGTGGCTTTGTTACTGATTTGTTGATGTTGTTTTCGCATTCGGCCGAAAGAAAACCACTCAAAAGTGTCAACAAAGTGGAAGATCAACATCAACCGCCGATTTAATTCCTGTAAAGTTCATCGACTCTGCAGACGAGCTCGAAAATAAACTCAAAGCCACGCGGCCTCCGAGCGATCGAAATCGGAATCAAGATCTCGATTCAGATTCGGTTTCGGTTTCTTTGGCAAGGTTGCCCAGAAGTGCACCTCTAGAACCTGTTGTAGCCGCAATTCTGGGGCACATGACACACATTCGTGGCCATAAGGTTATAGCTGGTTTACCATTATCGCCACCACTCCGCTGGGCAATTTCATTAGCGCCATTCGATGGCAAGGCGAGCTGCAGCGGCAGCGATTAAAATTTCAAGTTGAAGGCTGTTCAACGGCCACGGCTCGCGGTTATTAGCTATGGATTTGGTTCACAGTCTGCATTTTGAGAGCCTACATTTACGTATTCAAAGCCTCGAGTGCGATGCGGAAGCGAAGCCGCTGTTTCTGTTGACAGTCGTCGGCTGAAAAAGCCGGGCTTTTGGCTTTTGGCCCGCTTTTCGGTTTTGTTTCGCTCATTTGTCAAACAAAACTGTGTCGTCTCAGGCAATTAACGCTTTGACAAGTGGCTGGATTTGGCCAACTGGGGGTAAACTTGACACTTGACATATTCCCGAAGATGCGACTGCATTCTTTGTATTGGAAGGTGTGAAGAGCCGATGAAAGTGCTAATTCCACCTTAAATAGTCAACAAGTCTTTAGTGACTGGGCTGATCTAATAAGCAGTGAATATCTAAGAAATTTCATTATTAATAATGACGTGACTCACTAGCTAAGCAAAGCTAACTAACAGCTGTAAGATATAAAAAAAACCTTTACTGTATAAACGATTTCCAATTATTTGTTAACGTCGTAAAAAAGAATTTACAACACCTTTATTGTTTCAGAGATCAATAGTTCACCACTGGTCGCAAAGTTAAAAACAACTTTAGAACTTTAGATGTTCAGAATCACATAAACTTTTGTGTAATGTATTACATTCACCAGTGGTTTTGTTTTTGTTTTACTCCAGTCTGTAAATCTATTTGCCCTGACACTTAGTAGATGCTTTAAGATGCTGCAACAATCGCAAAAAACAAGGAAGCTTCATATACACCTGCTAATTTATTCATATTTAAACAGCATCTCTAAATTCATTTCACTAGAAACTCCAATTAAAGTTAAGTTTTATGGATCCTTATCGCAACTTACGGGTCTCAGCCTGAACTATCCAAAGAGCTTGGATCACGATCACAAAAAGGCACACAGACTTCATCATTTTGAGTGGAAAAATCACTTGAGAACCAATTACGGAGTACGTAGATCAACTGCAGCACACGCAACGGATCGAAAGATAGGACTACAGGCTATTTAATTTTATTTAGTGGAGAGTCGACCGTCCGTCTACGCGAAGCCGAGAACTTAAACTGCGAGCTGGTTGCCGGTCGATCGCCGATTTTAAAGCCCCTAAAGCTGCAGATCGCGGCGGAAAATGAAACGAGATGCAAACCAAGCCGAACTCAACTCCCGCCTCAACCGTCGACTTCTGCGCAAGCAGAGGTATCTCCAAATTCGCCGATGCGAGTACATTATATGGTATATATGGTATATAGTGGCTGACTGACCGACTGGGCTTCCCTCCTCCGACTTCTTCTCCGAGAGGCTTCTGTGCAAGACTTCGGTTTGTTTGCCCACTTGGCGAGTGCCGTAAAAGGCAATTAGGCAATTCTATTTTCGCAACTGCCTGCAAGCCGAGGTGCATGGCTCCAAGTCGATCGTTCAGGGCATCGCCAGATGAACTTCACACGCGGCTAACCTTCTGCTCATCAGCCACAAAGGAACCCTGATTGCGGTTGGCGGAGAACTTAACGACTCCCAATTACTCACAAGCGAAATAAACCTAAATCACAGCTTAACGAGACAAAGAACAAATAAAAAGTCAGTGGAACACAAGCAAGGTTTGAGAAATAGCTCTTGTACCCCATTAAATTGCAGATTCATGCAACTTCCTTTGGTTCCTAAAGCCTCGATAAAAGTAGAACATACTATGGCTAAACCGTAGCAAGGCAATCCGAACAAGATACCTGAATATATCTCCGCCTCTTATTTAATATGAGTGTGACGCTTTAATTGTCCATTAGCGTGAGATAATAAAATGTACACTTAAAAGCCGGGTCGAAATCAACCAGCTCCTTCCTTTTGGAATACTCTGCCGGGGAGAACGCACCACTACTTTTAGTTTACAATAAAAAGAAGATTGTTGCTTTTCATAACTTAAGTTCTAAATTGCAGAAACATTATATTTTTCAGAACCAACTTAGAAGAAATGTTTTTATTCAACATTAAGCGGTTTTATATAGAAACCACTTAAGCATTAATTAGTCGGAAACATTAATATTCTATTTTAGCTTTAGTTTGTTTGGGTGACAAATTTAATTTACAGTAAAAATGATTGACCTTTCCTGTTCATCGATTATCAGAATAGTAAACACGTGCTGGAAGTGAAAGAAAATACTTTTACTTGTTCATCGGATTACTCTCCTCGCGCTAGAATTGAATTATTCATGGACAGAACCGGTTGCAGTATGAATCTACTATGGACTTGATATTCCAGTCTGAATGGGTTCTATGATTCCTAGTGAGCCATTAAGCGGGAGTCTGTCAGGAATGGCTAACAATTTACTTGAAATATTAAGCCACGCAGCTTGCTATCCACATAACTTTGCTATTAGCATAATATATTTGTCTGGAGCTAAAAAATATTGATATTAAATGTCAAAAGATAATACCAACTGTAGCGTATACAAGGTTCGACTTGGTTTCCGTGATGGGGGATGATTCTTCTCAATGTGTCAGTAATCCCCAGATAATTTTGCGCGGAAACCAAAGTACTTACTTGGCCCACACTTTGCACTGTGGTCGGAACGCACTGAACTCTTAAACTGTTTACAATGGCCCTGAACACAGATAAATAGAGAATATGGGGAAGTATCGGGGAACTCGATGGGAAGTCTTGTTTGTTATGTGGCACAAAGGCCTCTTCGCCGATTCTAAAGCCTGTTGTTGTGTTTCTGGCTCACAATACCCGCCAATGTGGTTATAAATACTTCTCCGTTTGTATTCGAGTCTGTACAAAAGATGCCTGGGAATAATGACAAACAAACGCGTGGTGAAATGCAGAAAGGAGGAAGAAAATTGCGAAGCCTCATTGTTTTACAAATATTTTTGTTGCCGTTCTCAGCGTTTGCCGCCTGACTTTGATATTTCATTCGTACTATTCACTGGCCGCAGTGCTAATTATTCAGGTGACTAAGCACGAGTGGAAAAGTGCAAAGTTGAGCGGAATAAATAGCGAAGCTATGGCGAATTCCTCTATTAGGATTATAAGCATAAAAACCTAGTTTTGCGAGAACTGAAATTAACACAATTTTGAGACAAACAGGTTGGATCGTACACTTTTCCAGTTTCCGTCAGAACCACTTTCAATTCGCACCAATTACCAGATACTCGGGCTCGAGCTTCCTTGTGGCCCAGAAATGTGTCATTCAACCGACTCGCGACGAAAGGAACGCCACTTGCAGTTTCATTCACAGTCGGGTGGTTTTCGAGTTCGCGTTGACCCAGTCACCGATTCACCCAGTCACCAAGTCACCGAGTCACCGATTCACCTTGACCTTGAGTGCGATTCTCCACACGCAGCCCAATGTCGCGGGCAAACTGAGCGCTTGTTTTTTGCGTGCACTCGTTTTTCTGGAGCGCTTCGAGCATCCTGTTTGCAGTCCTCTTGCTTTTATTGGAATAGCAATATTTTTGCAGAATTGTAAACACATAAAAATAGTTTTATAATTATTGTTTTTTGGATATCTGTCTCTTGTCAGGTAAATTAAAAAAAAGAAACTAAACTTAAATGAAACTTTTTATGCGTAGGGCCTTTTTTTGGTATTCAACTTTTTAAGCGTACAAATATCTAATATAAGACGTACATAACTTAATATCCTTACCCTACAATTAATTTATAGGAATTACTATTATCAAATTTTAGTAGGGGAGGGTGGTCCCATACCGACCGGTCGTACCATACCGACCCCCCCATGTTTCTCAGAGATGGCGATGTTAGCCGAATTGTCGGTAACTTCAGTGAAAAGCTGTTATAACACAGACATTTTGGAGATAGATAGCCACTTTGACTTATTTTGTTTCACTGCAATTTTTCCGTTTGTTTTGTTTCAACGCCTGTGACATTTATTTTTGAGCTTTACTGAACTTGAGCTTAAAGTTTTTTTTCTCCGCATAAAAATCGGAGAGTAAATTTTTCTGATCGTTGATAGTCCTAGCTTTCACTCACATAATTAGAATTACATCGCTCTTTGCGTCTTTAGTTAATGCCGAGCAGTTAATCAGAAAAGGTCGTGGTGGTCCGAAACCGACCCCCATTTATTGGCAGCTTAATATGTCATAGCGTATTTTTGATGGAAAATATGAAAAAGTAAACAAGATTCAGTAAAGAAAAGTAACAGAAACAGCAAAAACATCAGAAGAAAGCGAAGAGACAGTCATCAACGAGCGGCTTTCGAAAAACAACGCGAAAACAACGCGAAAACTTACTATGAGAAAGGGGACAACTCAGACTTCATCTATTGACTACAGTGCCCTTTATTTCATACATTAATTTTTATTTTCTGGAAAGAACCTTCAATATATTTCTTAGTAAACGTCAAAATCATTAAATTCTATTTTATGTTATTAAATTTTTCTGTTAAGAAATAGGGGGTCGGTTTCGGACCACTACTTTTGAGTACGACCAAAAAGTAGAGTTTTATATTTGCCTGAATATCTAACGCTTCAAAGCACCTACGCACTTACTAATCATTTAGATGTATAGTAAACTGATCCCTCTACATAGTAAATTTTTGAACTGAACTGAAAAATTGATTTTTCTCACCTTTATCGCCTTTGCCTTTTAGGGGGGTCGGTATGGGACCACCCTCCCCTAGTGCTAACATGACACTGTACTTAAAAATATGTAAATCATTAAAAAGCCAATATAAAATTAAATTAATAAACTTTTATTGCGTGTAAACATTTTTGTAGTCTAAGTGTATTTTGGCTTTTAAACAATTTATTATATCTTTTATTTTCAAGTAAAAGTAGTATAAGTCATAAGTACAATGAAGGTAGTATTAAGGATATGTATTCTTAATCACCTTCTAAAAATAAAATTAATTGACAAATTATAACAACGTTATTTTTATCATGCAAGAAAGATTGATATAGATTATAGATTATAGATTATAAAGTTTTCAAATGATTTTTACATTTTTTGGATAATAAATGTAATAGGAGCAATCGGTAAAATTTTTGAAATCAATAGAAAATGGAAATGTAAAATGAATTATACATTTGACACGATCCGTTTGCACTTAACCTTCTGTGACATACTTTTAGGCGTCGGGCTTACAGTGAAGGTCGAAAAAATTAACCAAGTGCCGGTTTTGAACTGCTAAAGTTCAGTTCATTTCAGAGATCCATAAATGTAAATTTTAAAACATGAAACTTAAAAAAATTGTAAACCTAATTAACACTTTATTTTAAAATGAATTCCACGTTGTTTACTACACAAACAGGTCCCACACCCTCACCATTCACGATGCTTTCCCAGCTCAAATTTACAATTTAAATGCGTACCGGACAATGGCCGGTAATCGAAATAATTCCAGACAGGCCATAAAGCTGGCTGAAAAGTTCTCGGAGACAATTGCATTTCAATAGAGGGCTTGTCTGCATCTCATCACAATTTCGACTGTTGGAACAAACAAACACTTCTGATTTATTAGGGTTAACACACTCTCCTGCCGGCGAAGTGTTCATATGCGTGGTTGGCTGCATTGTGTGGACGATAATGAGAGCCCATTACCGCACTCGACGCTTGCGAAGCTCTTGGTTCTAATCGCACTGCTTGACCTTTTGGCCACAAGTGCAACTGCGGCCCACAAAAGGGCTGAAAGGCAGCAGAATAGGAGAGCGCGGTACTGCGGCTAAGGGCTAATCCCAGCTTGTAGAATCGTTAATGATGCCAAGCCGCTCGGATGATTCATGACAGCCTCGTTACCAACTTGCAATCGCGGCAGTGGGAGGTTGGGCTTCGAGTCAGAGACCCTTTGAACGTAACCTTCAGGCTACAAGCCCCGCAAATCGCTACGCGCCTTTGTACACAGAGAAAAATGGAACGAAACAAGGAAATAGGACTTTACAAATACAAGACCAAGATAATCTCTGGTAGAAGAAGATATCCAGTTGACAATACTTATAATTTATTTTCGTGATAATAAATAAATCTTTTTAATTCGGAGTTAGCAGTTATTTCAAAATTTAATAATAATAATTTATCTGAATAAGTTGAACCTACTAGCAATACATTCTCGGGCTTCTTGCAATTTATTCGAAAGTATTTTGAGATGGATTTCAAATAAGAGTAATATTTACAATATTGTATGTATTCTGTAGTAGGGTTTTGGATACTGCCGCACTGATTCAGAACTAGAACATAAGAGGGTTTCTCATTTAATTCAACTAAATTAATCAGATTTTTTACCGTACAGCGATGATAACGCCGACGGCCTGTCTACTACGCACGATTTCTGGGGTGTGGCAAGAAGGCCTTTTGTTCGTGTTTCTTTCGCCAGCTCTTTCGCTGCATTTTGTCGGCGCTTTCGGGCCGACTTCTTGCTGGTTAAAATGGCTTGGACCAACGCAGCCCGAGCTCATTCCTCAGCCGAGTCGCGAGAAAGTTGGACGCAAAGTAAGCGCAGCCGAAGAAAGCAGAAGACGGCACACAGAGCACACAGAGAAGACACTCCTCGGCGGAAGACAGTCCAATTCTTTATCCAAGAACAAACAGTGAACTGGTTGGACTGGCTTGACCCACTTCCAAGGCGAAGCGAAAGAATTTCCGCTCCAAAGTGAAACCCACTCGGGCTTCTGACTTCTGACTGAATTCTTTCCCGACTTCTTCACTTTCGCTCGTAAAGAGCCAGTCGCGTCATCCAACATAAATTATCATATCAATAACCATAAGCCATACTATTCGCTCCGAGGAGAGTGGCCAAAACGTGCTAATCAATTACGAAACTAGCGAAAAGTGAAACACGGCCGTCGTTAATTTCTACTACTTGTACTTTCATGCAGACGAACCGAAAATGTGCCGCCGGATTGGATTTATTGTGCTCGTCGCCTTGCTGGGCGCCACTTTGGGCCAGGAGCAGCGTAAGTAGTGACAACCCATTAACCTTTCCGGGGATGCCCTTATGGCCGCGGCTTTCTAAGTTTCCAGCCGGTCCTTAGACACGTCCGCCGACCAACTTGGCCCAAGTGGCCCGTGGATTTGGCATTGACTAATTGCCCGCCCCGCAGACGTGCCTTGGCAACGACGAAAGTCGGCTTTTACCGAGCGGGTCGAGTGGTCTCTAGAACGGCGATTGACTGCCACAATACGCGAGGTTAATAGTTCAGGCTCCGCTAACCAAACTGGACGGGAATTAGGCCATATTTCGAAATATTCCACAAGTTTCAACTCGGCCAACGTGCGTTTCATTTAGTGATTCCACGTAATCTTCCTATACATAGAACATTTCAAACATCAAAGCCACTAAGATCCCGAAGCCAATATATATTTTCGTGTTATAAATGCATACAACTTCCCATTTAAGTGGATTAATAGTGCTCGACCAGCAGTGATCATTCTTTCGATAGAATAAAAAGAAACCCGTAACATAAATCTGAAAGCAAAAATACAAAACCTTGTCATACCAACGTTGCCAAATAAACACTTTATAACTATTTACTGTAAACAAACACTATATTATAATATAAGGTTTGACAACAGTTATACAAAATTAGGAGTTCGTCACGGTCCCTAGGGAATCGCACCCCGGAACCCTCGCTTTTGACCAGTTTTCGCACATGCCCTTTGCACCGCAGCCACGTTAATTAGCCCGGCAATAAACCTGTCACCAGTTTGTCCCATCGCAGCGACTCTCGGCTTAAACCGAACATGTTCACAGCGCTGTGGGATCGGCGAGGTGATTGTGAACTTGAACTCACGTCAACTGACGCATTCGCATTCGCATTCGCCGTGCAACCGCAATTAATGGGAGGAAAGCGAATCTTCCTTTCCATTGTGAGCCCCTGTCGATTAATTCAGTGGCGGCGGAGAGACAATGCCGACCATGAATAGGCAAAACCTGACATTTACAGATCGTTGCCTGCCTTCTCCAACCCATTGTTCACCCTGCGAATGCCTTTTCTACCACAGCCTACTACCTGCAACAGTGTCCCAGGGACGAGGCCCAGATCAACGAGTGCCTCAAGGAGAGTGGCAACAAGCTGGTCCACTTCCTGCAGAAGGGGGTGCCGGAGCTGGACATCTACGAGGTGAGTCGGAGGAACAGTTCAAGAATACCAACTAAGATGGATAATACAATTATCCATTTAAATCAACACCACAAAAATTGTTACTTACCTGTCAGTGTAAAAGTAAACATAATTAGGCTACCCAAATAAGAATAACTATAACCATTTCTCTGAATTTCTGCAAGTTAAGAGGAGATATATATGTAACATAAGTAGCTATCATTGGGTTAGTTATAAGGAACTCATCAGAAAATTGAGATTAATTTAAACATTTGGAATTTGCTCATCGATTGGTTCTAATTCTAACCATCTAATTCTAATCATCATCAGATCGAACCCGTGATGATTGATGAGATCGGCATTGTGCTGGGAAGTGGACCAGATGGCTATCGAGCCCTTTTCCGGAATATCCAAGCCTACGGTGTGAGCAACATCACGGTAACAAATATCCGGTAAGTTTTGGATATATTTTAAGCTAAATGGGTGCATTGATACCGGGATACCAGGAACATCTATAGAAATCAGATCCTAGATGGCATTTACTACATTACAGCTGCTCCGCAATATAAATCATCTTGATAACTTAAATACAAGTCCAGACACGTGACACAGTTTAGTCTGTATTTACATTTCGTCTTTGGTTTGCTATTAGCCGCTCAGTGACTTTTTCCACCGCAGTAAGCACTCTTAATTGCACGCTTCCCTTTGCAATTAATTACATCTCAGTAATAACACCTCATTTACCCATTTATGACCCAGTGGTTACTTTAAGTGTTTTACTAACATATTTGTTGCTGGCAACTGCTGGAATAAAAATTAAAAATAATGATAAGTTTTATATGTTTTATTCATACCCGTGCTCTAAATACAAAATACTTGCAAAAGCTACAATTAGAACAACAATTTAAAAAGCGTCATTTTTGTAATTAAACCTGTTTAATATACATTTCCGTTTGAAGTAGAACTCTAAGAGGTTGTAAACATCGCGCCAAGGGCCAAGACTTATTTGTTGTTCTTCAACTGTGTTTGCCTTTGTTTATATATTTTAATCGGCAATATCCTGAGCAACCTTCTAATGCCTCATTCCAAGCTAATCCAGTATTTACCAGGGCACACAAACATCTCAGAGCTAACAGTATCGGAACTTCGATCCCCCTGCTATTATCATTTAATTGGCTGCTGATTTGCCTAACCGCCCAGTCTATCGGTCAGTAAGTCAATCAGTCAGTTGGCCACTCAATTAGAGTCTCCGAGCACGCGATCCCCACTTGGCATTTTCTCGACGGAGTGGGGACCACTTGAACCAGCGCAGTTTTCCTCACTTCAGGGGGTTTGCCACTGCCCGTGAAAAACTCATAGTTTTGATTTATGGACAAAACGTTTGCCACACACTGGGGAATCGGTTGAGCAATAGCCGATTTGCATTGCAATAAATCTTTAACGCTTACTTTAGCGTTTTATGTTTGCCCAGATCAATTTGCATTCGCTTGGGTTTTTCATATGAAGCTGTTGGCTTATTCTGGTGGGTTCTATTTGTGGGTTTTAATTTGAAGTCAGGAAAATCTGGCCATGGTTTAGCTGGAAATAGTAAATAAGTTCGTTTATCTTATTTTAATCGTTCTCTGAAAATGTGATTGTAAATATAATTGGTGTCTAATTCTGATTAAGGGGAGTTTTTTTTAACCGGGGAAATAAACCCAACTTCGCTTCAGTTTATTGCGGTCAATCTGAATTTCGAAGAAGCGCTTTTCCTTAGTACTCTTCCAACTTTATTCAAGGAAATATTAAATCGTATTAAAAATTCTTTGAAGATATACTTATTTTTTATAAATGCAGTAAATAAAGCCCCCTTAGCAAGTTTACCCACTATCCAATACGGCTTCCGATTTTGCACTGGTCTTGAATGATGCAACACCCAAAGCCAAGAGCACTTTTAGCTTGACTTTCCGGTATTTGGAACGGCAGCTCCACCAACAATAGCAGAAACAACAACGATTGGGCCTTAGACACTCGGCAAAATAAAATAATCCACGCCAAGTGGCAAAAACACAAACACAGCCACGGGTGATGACAACCGACCCACAGATCGTTGGCCAAGAAACGAGCCAGAAAAGTGTGCCATGCGAGATTCTCCAAGTGGAGAGCATTCTTTGGGTCGGTTCCATTATCGGTTTCGCTTTCTGTGGCAAAGCTATAGCTATTTTTTACAATCTGAAAACATGCTGTGGTTTATTTTTGAAATTGAACACTTCTGTAGAATATTTTGAGTATTTGTTTTTACGATGCTTTTAGCGAGTTACGATTTGCGATCTTTGCTTCTGGTGCTGAATTCGTTTTCTAATAGTTCGACGAAGGCCTACTAGTTGTCTCAGCACTCAGAAGGTTCTCTTCGCTGTCGGAGTTCAGATTTAAGAGACCCGCGGCAAATATCGTCGGCTCATCTTCGCACGAACAGAATGAAGTGGCAGTTTTCGCCCAGCTCATTACTCCGCGGATTGTCACTGTCATTGCCATTAGGGGCGCCCATTAATAGCCATCTGGGCGAATCTGTTTTGCAGCTCCGACTTGGACTCGCTGCAGTTCCAGCTGACGTGCGAGATACCCCGCATTCGCGTCAAGGCCCAGTACCGCTCCACAGGTGTGCTGATCTTGGTGAAGGCCTCCGGCGCCGGCGACTACTGGGGGGAGTACGGTGAGTACTTGGGGCTCTCTGCCGCCATGACGCACTGCTAATGGCTCGATCTCTCTCCGCCTCCCAATTTTTATCGCAGAGGGAGTAAAGGCCAAGATCTACTTCAAGGCGACGGCGAACGAGGGACCCGACGGACGCACCTACCTCACCACGGAGTCCGTGAAGATGGACTTCAACGTGAAGGAGATCCAGATGGGCGTGGACAACATCGCCAACGGCAACTCGGTTATCCGTAAGTGGTTGCTTTTCCAGCCCCTCTATGAACCAACTAAGCACTTAAGTCGGATTTCCCCACACAGAGGCCGCCCTCAACCTGTTCATCAACTCGAACTCCCAGGAGCTGCTCAAGGAAATGAAGCCGGCGCTCAGGACCAAGCTCACCCTGGTCATCCGCAACTTCATGGACCGCATCTTCGCCAAGATACCGCTGGACGAGTGGATCAACCTGAACTAGAACGTAGTTGCCCTACCCGTAGCCTAAGCCTAATTTATTGCACCCAGTTCAAGCTAAATAAACCGAGTAAACACATCCGAAACTGCTGCTGCGTAACCCGCCGACTCGGTTGCCATATCATCAGAGTCGTTTAGCTCATCAGAGCGTCATCGGGCCACTGGGAAGGAGTTATTATATGGGAGTTGCATGCACGTCCGTCACGCTAATTCAAGGTCTTTGCGATCTGAATGAATGGGAAATGTGGGGACAAGTCTCGTAAATAACAGGAGACAGACAGGCGGAACCGTTCGTTCCCTTTCGTAATAGTTCGGTAAGAGTGGCTTGAAAATATAATGAATGGCCAGTCAAGGAAGACTAGATCCTAGGGGATTCCCCCTACCCACTGGCTTGTTCAAGCACTTGTAAGGCAGAGTATTATAGTTCTTTCTTCCAACTGAAATTCTTGAAAGTGTCTCATCATTCTCCTAGCTATTCGTAACTCGCACTGTTGACCCCTTAGTCTATCCTAGCCAAATCCCCCTCACAAACGGGAAGCTTACCACATCCGATTGAATAATAAACTATGAATGAGCACAAACATCGCAAACTTACCTAATGCAGCCGGGATGAAGTCGGGAAGCGATCTTTGGCTGGCTTCCGAATTGCGTGCACCCGACAATTTTCCTCCACAATCAGACTCCGCAACGAACCATGTCGCAGGGCTCAAGTCGGGAAAAGCTTTTCGCCAGGGGATCTCTATTATGCAATCCAAAGTTGGCAGATTGTCAGCACACGATCCCCATCCAAGATGTTCGCCAGGCGTAATTGCGACAGACACGCCAGAGTCTAGAACAATCCTCAGGCAGTCCCCATATCTTTTAAACCGAAGATGACGAGCTACCAAGCGGTAAGATCCCTCCTAACCTGCGATACACCCACTCGAAGGAAAATTGGTTTATAATTTCCACGATGTTATTGCGACGGTCATTTTATTGTTGTTATGTTATAAATAAGTAACCGTTGCCTTTAGGTGGGAAACCTTAGTGAATAAAATAGATCGGACAAATAAACTAAATTTAAATTGGATCTAAAGATATTCCTGATGTTATGGTTACACTATTCAGATACTTTTAGGGGCGTATGCTATTAAAATTTTTTTTTTTAAACCTGAAGACCTCCAGAAATTGAAAGTTTTAATAATTTGTTTTCAAATTTAAATCTCTTTAGGAACTTGGGATGTAATCTAACAATCTTTTAGTTGGCAAATAACTTTATTATCCTCGACTATTGATTGGAATGATTTAAAAAAAAACCTACTTATGTTTCCTAAAAGTGCACTTACTGGGATAATCAGCTTTGTAGGCAGTGGTGTTGGCTTCCGGCTCGACCTGCAGTCTGCATTTTCCCGGCCAACCGGCAATTTTCCCGCTCGCCTGACTCCGTGTGCGTTTGGGTTTGTCACCGGGCCTCAGCAGTGTGGTCGAAATCGCCACAATCTTTATTATAATTATTAAACAGTAGCTGCTTAGCGTCTTCTCGCCCTCTCCCTCTGAGCGGTCGACCCTCTCTTTCTAGTGGCTCGAGCTCACCTGGCGGCTTCTGGGGACAGGGGGCGTCCGAGGGGCGTGGCAGGGGGCGTGCGGGTTCTACGTCGTGTGTTTGCGAGTCCACAGCTAGGCAAGCTCTCATGTAAATCGTAGCGTAATTTTCGCTATAAAACGCGCCGGTCTCAGCGATTTAGCATTCAGTACGATCCGTAGACGGTTACTAAAACAACACCCGGCTCTGACAGCTCGAGAACGTTGAGCAGCCTTCGACAGTTCAGAAAAGATAACAACCAGTGCCAAAACAAATAGTTGCAAATCAAATTACCTCTCCGCCAAGTTGTGTAAGTTTCAAGGCAGGCTACATCTCTGCGGTGTATCCTTAGGAACTTGCAACAGTGAACTAATCACAAAGTTATAATCAGCCCTTTTAAACTACAGTGAAAGTTGGTAAAAGTGAGCAAAACAAGGATATCAATTAAAGAATCCTGACCTGCAAAAAAGGCAAATACTGAAAATATTTCTTTCAAGTTTAATTTGGGAAGGCCCAGCTAACATTCCAAATTTTTCTAAAGATTGCGAGAGAAAATCAAATAATAGACTGATATATTAGATATAGATTGGGTCCATACCTTTTTAATTTCAAATACAGGAGTCAAAGGAACTCGGTTAGGATTTCGTATAATTTCTGCAGTAGCGTTGTTCATTCACAACATTAACTGTGTTCTTAGTACGCAGAAATCTTCTTTCGCAGTATTTGTAACCTTTGCAGTCATTCATAAAAACATTACCTCCCGATCGAAGTCAATAACTGACTTGGCAACAGAACAGGCATCAATTACGGTCATTAAGCCGTCTGGGTGCCTCTAGTTATTAGACATAAAGGCTATAATCAAACGCTTCACAAGTCGACGGAAGTGGGAGGTGGAACACTTAAGGGCGATTCAGGTGGCTTCACTCAGTGCTGGGGGTTAACAAACCCCTTTAAGTGAACTTTGGAGTCGATAAGAGCGATTAAATCGGCACATGTTCTGGTAAAACGTGTTTTCAATACTTACCATATCTTTCCACAGATTTTAATTGCATCCGAAGAATCAGAATGCAGTACCCACTTATCGTAGCCTCTCTGCTGGTTTGTCTCGTTGGCTGCAGCTCAGCCGGCGGTATGCGTAAGTTGAAGCTGTGCCTCAGGAATATTTCCAGAACTCTAACTAGGCTTCCTCCCCAACAGCCGACTACATCCAGGTGTGCCATCGCAACGACCCCGAGCTGTCGAAGTGCCTGAAGAGCAGTGTGCACAACCTGCGGCCCTATTTGGCCAAGGGCATCAAGGAGCTCAATTGTCCCCCCTAGAGCCCCTCTACATTGGTGACCTCAGCATATTGGACGGCTCCGGCGGGCTGACAGTCAAGGCAAAGAAGTTGAATGTCCTGGGCGCCTCGAACTTCGAAATCACAAAGCTGCGCGCATCCACCCAGAGCCGTCGCTTTGACTTCGAGCTGATCCTGCCACATCTGCACGGAGACGGGCTCTACGAGATCAACGGGAACATCCTGGCCCTGCCCGTCAAGGGGAACGGACCCTTCACCGGCAACTTCACCAACTTCGTGGCCTACGTGCGGGTGCAGTACGACATCAAGAGCATCAACGACCTGGACTACCTGCACGTCAAGGAGTTCGCTCTGAAGATCCGCACAGGAAAGGGAAACCTCAAGCTCGAGAACCTCTTCAACGGAGACAAAGTGCTCGGCGATGTCATCAATGACACGATCAACCAGAACTTCGAGGTCTTCACCAACGACCTAATCGCTCCGATTGCCCGGGCTTTGGAAGCCAAGTTCCTCGTCATCACCACCAAAATCCTGGAAAACTTCACCTACAACGAGCTGTTCCCAGTCTAAGGCAAAATGTGATTAAGCTAGAGTTAAGCACGTGATACACTCCAATTGTTTTAATTAGTCCTAAAGTATTCAATAAATCATCAGAACTCCAACGGCTGCAATTTAAACCAAATATCAGATGACAACATCCCCATTCTCTGTAGAAAATATAAATAAGAAAGATCTGGATACATTAAAAAAGTAGGTAAGTAGGGGGAAGTAGGTAAATCTCCGCTTACTTTTCTAGGCCCAGTGGTATTCGCATGCCAGTCAAGTGTATAAAGGACTCTCAACTGCAACATGTTTATTCCATAGGTTATAGGGTAGCGTCAGCACTTCTGTGGTTAATAAACTAATTTCTCTTCTCCTAATAGTTTTCTGGCTTTAAAAAGTTGAGCGGGATTTCCAAACGTTTCTAAAGATTCCCTTTTGGGACAAAAATCTATCGCCTTGTTGCAGTTTATGTGGAATTGTTACTTTAGAATTTGATTGCATTGGATTTTTGGAACTTTTATTGAACTTTCAAAAGCAGGAATCTCCTAAACCATATCAGGGATTGCTTATTTATTATTTTTTTCTTATTTTTAATCAATTGTTGTACTAAAGTAAGAGTATCAGAAAGTTGGGGTATTTTTACATCTTCGGAAAGTACAGAAGCACAGGGACATAGTGAATTTAAACATATGTATTTAAAGAACTTAACTTAAGGTTATTTAGTAAGAATAGAGTTCTGGTTAAAATAACTATTCATATTTGTTTTAAGGATTTTAATACTTATATTCAAGAATTAAACGATTTTGAATAAATTAATTAATTGTTTACTTTTTAGGGTTCCTGTTTTTAAAATAATGCTTTCGACAACACGGTCTATAAATAAGACCATGTCTTTAAAGAATCACCCAATAAGATAATGTCGCTCGAGAACAGCCACTTAAAATAAATCATTTCTGCGATAAAAAAGAGTTTATGACTGCTAAATATATTATATATAGGGCACCAAGTGTCTTTTTTCTGCATTGCAAACTTTTGAGTTTATAGCCTCTTTGAAGAGTAATATTGTTGTTATTGGTTTACGATAAAAATAGATTCAATTAAATGTTAACTGTTTAAAATGCACACTGCACACTGCAATTAAATTCCAACATCGTCTGTATTAAACCTCTTAAACCAATAACCGGAATTTAAACTGTCACAAACACAAACAACTTCTAAAAACCCTATTCACACACTAGAATTGTTTAACTCATGCTTCAGTTCTTTTATTATAAACACAGATACATTTTTAGTAGCACAGTATTTTTTCCATAATTTAGGTTAATACAAGAATTCAAAAACAAAATGGCGTTCCTTGTTTGAGTCTCCATATTCCGCTGCAAACAATATATTGAATTGCACATCCAAAGCACCCTAAAAAATAAAAGTATTGTAATTACATATGCTATAAGTCTTAAGGCCGAGAATTTCTTACGGAAACCATTTTTATTTAATTCACTCTAGGCCTTAAAACCATTTATCATTCCTGGACGATAGTGTTGAAGTAGGTATCCTTATTCGCGGAAAACAGAAGAACCATACGGGGGATCTAAATTCTGAGTCCACTCTATAAATGTATTTGCAATCGGCAATGTCCGCTTTCGTTTTTAGCGGGATAAGCAGAGCAATACAGTTATATTACTCCACTCATCCAGGAAAAATCAAAGGCGGACATTCCCGATTGCGAGTACATTCTTTGATTGGATTCTGATCTACCTTTCAAGATACGGAACTTATATAGTGATGCTACTGGCGATGTCAAACATTTTCTCTGCCAACGATGTTCGACGTCGAACTCACGTCGACACAACCGTTTTCGATAAGCGTGTACCAATGCTTTTGTGTTAGAACCAGTGTTGCCAGGTTTTGATCGCCTTATAAGCTATATCTTTGAAAAAAATAAGCTAAAATTTTATAGTGCTAAAAAACAAGCTACACCCAAATAAGAGAAAACATTAAACGTGGCAAAAATCATACTTATGATTAGGTCTTTAAATTTCCATTACGACAGTTTCTCGTAGAAAAAAACATTAATTTAAAGGTGATTTTTGATGAAATTATAATATTTTGGTGGTATTGGTGAATCTAGGTCGGAAAGCTGTAAATAATTAATTAGGTTTTGTCGTTTTCAGGATATTGCAATCCGACTTTCTAAAGTTTTACACAACAAAAATGACTACAATTTATAATTTAAGCCTGTCAACTCTAAGAATTTAGCCCATCCTCCATTGTCAAGGATAATATTTGTCCAGTTTAGTAAACACTTAACATTTTACGTTACTTTGAAATCGTTAGGGTGGCCGTTTGTTGAAAAGAACTAGTTCAGGTGTTCGAGAAACGTTGGTTTTCCAGGGAGGAAGAGATTTTTCTATCACTGCAGCCCTTGGTTCACATCTAGTTCCAGCTCTATACCGTCGCTGCCCGAGTTTGCCCTAATAAAATTACAAAATTTCACTGTTTCCGTTTGTAAAACTCAGCGCATCGCCCAGGCGTTCAAATTCACATCCAACACAAGCGGTAGTATCGTTGTGAAACATGTCAACACCCGCTCGCAGACGTCTTATGAGAGATTTTAAAAGGTGAGAAACGAAAAGAAACGAATCGAAGTGAAAAGAAAAGGAAAGGAAACGCATCGCAACGAAATGAAAACAAGATAATAAGCAGGAGCAACGAAACGCGAAATACACACAATATTTGGATTTTGCGAATTCGTAATTCGTGGTACGAGAAAATGTTGGTGAAAAGAAACCTGGGGCTGCCCAATACATATAAGCAAACACACAGGCGTACATACATACATGTGTGCTCTATGTCTGTATGTAGTGGAAAAGTTTGCGCAGCCAAAATATGTACGTGTTCATGTGCTTATATATATTTGTGTGTGTGTGAGAGTGGTTGATTATTTTCGCTGCTTTTTGCTCTTGCGAAAAACAAAAACAACAACAGCGATTCGCTTGTCTTTGACACTTGACTTTGATATGTGTGTGTTTGGCGCGGGGTAAAAGCGATAAAACAAAGGGGAAAATTGGGTAAAACTAAACAAAAATTCTTCTTCCGTCTTTTGCCGAAATTGCGTCGCAGCAAAACATTAACAATTGTTTTTGTTGTTCATCTGAGTCAGCAGCTGCATCCTGCCCTCTCCCGCTCGCACTTAACCTTGTTGACTCACGCGAAAGAGATTGAGTACTCCAATTGGAATTTCATTCGATTTCGGAACTTTCATCATCTTTGAAATTTAAACGCTGGCGCGAAACAGCAAACTGCATCTAGGGAATACGAAACCAAATGTCAAGGCTGTTTGAGTGGGCGGTTTTTCCTACCCCAATGCAAAGTACCACCCAGAGAACTTACAACAACTAGTCGCTTATCTGACATTCCACACAGGAATAAAAACCAAATACTTGGCACTTGTTTCACATAATAAGATTATTTCCGTTTTAAAAATATTTCATAAACACCATTTTGCAATTGCAAGCCAAGCTGGGACTTAAGTACATGCATACAATATATGCAGATAATTTGGATTAGATCAGACAACTTAGATTCTAACAATTTGACCATCATTTTATTTGCTTTTAACAAGTTAGGAACATAAAGATACATATTGTTGGCGATCCTAAGATTGTTATTAATTCCTAATTTCGGGGTGAGAGAAAAAGAAACTAGTTTACTATTTCATATTCCATACTGAACATTTAAATAAGCCCAATCTATTGTTTCTTTAGTTGTGTACACTCGCGTTTCGTTGGTTGTTTAATCGATGATTTCACTTGGCCCATGTATCGATTTAAGCCGATTGAAGGGCGCGGTTAAACGGGTTGCGCCGCCCGCTTGTTGCTCTTTGTTGACCTAAATTTTCAGCCAATACCGTCCAGATTGTGGTCTCTACATTGTAAGCCGGAGAGTTTGTTTTTGCACTCTTATTTGGTTGCCGAAACTGTAAAGAACAATTTGTATGACTCTTTTTTGATAACAGAATATGGAACTATTACTAGATGCAACCAGACATTGTTTTAGTTTTATCGATCATTTACCGATAGAAAGACGCGCATTTAACCAATTTCATAATACCGAAACTTTAGGTCTCTAACCAGCCCAATTTTAGTTAACTCGGATCCAATATTCAAAATATTCATAAATATTCATCTCATCCAACTATTCAATATAAAAAAATGATTGTCTATGAACTTTAAACTGATTAAAATAAACAAGTTCTGTCATTCGGAACCAATTACTAATACTACTACTTAGTATTTAATTCTTAATTCATGAGTCATTAGAAAACTCTATTATTTGAAAAACAACGATGTTATAATTTTTCCGTTATTTTCGTTAATTATGTATAGATTTCGATCTCTTCTATGGTAGCTATATAATATAGTTGTCCGATTTTTATAAAACTTTTGTTCCATTTAAGGGTATTTAAAATAACTTCACAACTTTTGGAAAAGTTTCAGCAAGATAGCTTTAAAACTGAGAGACTATTTTGCGTAGAAACGGACATTGCAAACTTCTGGCCTAAATTATGATACACTTTGCTCTGCAAGGGTATAAAAACAGTAAACTTTGATTTATCGAGCACATACCGCTGGAATGTCCATTATTAAACCAATCTCATAATACGGAAAGCATAACTCGCTATTCCAATATTAAAAAAATATTATTAATCATAATAATAATAATAGTAATTACCAAAAATTTTTGTTAATGAACTTTAAATTGATTAAAATAGTCAGGTTTTGTAATTCGAAACCAGTTACTGCTACTACTTCTTAAAAAAAATTAACTATAAAATAAACTTAATACAATGCAACAAACAATTTTTATCTTCCATTTTTTTGTTTTGTTATGCCAATTTGATTGATTTTATAATATGTCCTTTTCTTTTTGCAGACTTCAAGAGGATCCACCAACGGGTGTCTCGGGTGCGCCAACAGATAATAATATTATGATATGGAATGCTGTGATTTTTGGTCCACACGATACACCATTCGAGGACGGAACCTTTAAGTTAACCATAGAATTTACGGAAGAGTATCCAAACAAACCGCCAACAGTTCGATTCGTATCGAAAGTATTTCATCCCAATGTGTACGCAGATGGAGGAATATGCTTGGACATATTGCAGAACCGCTGGAGTCCCACATACGATGTGTCAGCCATACTTACATCTATACAGGTGAGTAGTACTAGTTTGGGTAGCAGTCGAAATGACTCTAACTCCTTTGTGTTTGCGCTCCATATCCATAGTCACTGCTGAGCGATCCCAATCCCAACTCACCGGCTAACTCCACCGCCGCCCAGCTGTACAAGGAAAATCGCCGCGAGTACGAGAAGCGTGTGAAAGCCTGCGTGGAGCAGAGTTTTATCGATTAGCCATGCGCCCACTCTAGGAACAGCAGCAGCATCAGAAGCAGGAGCCACAACAGGTGCAGCAGCAGATTCGAGGGCGGCCGCAGCTTAAAACATCAGCAAACTACAGCAACAAAAATATGCAATACCATAAAGAAGTTTGAATTAAATAATAACAGAAATATTTATGATAATTGTAAAGCTATGAAATTGTAACAGCGCCATTGGCACGGCACAGTAGCATATATACACCCTCAACCGCTCACTCGCTCACACACCTGCGCACACCACCCGGAACCCGTACTGGGCATTTTTAAGTTATATTTGTTTGGCCGATAGTTCCACCTTGTCCTTATCCCAATCCCGAAATCATACCTAGAAAACACCCGGAAATCCATTGTAGAAGTCGCCGCTAGTTAACCCGGCAGCCGGAAGTAAGACTCTCATAAGCTAACAACTCAAATGTTATAATTCAAATAGCAGCGGCGAAAAATTATTAATTATAATAAAAAAAATTATAAAAACCATGTCAAACGATTGAAAAATCCGAACATTTTTATTTTAGATGTGCGCAAAGAAAGTCCTGTAAAACTAAGCTAGATCTGCAACTTAGCCAAAATCCAAACAGAAATTAATACTTGTAGTACTTCGTGTCGTAGCAAAAACAACAAAGTTAATTGGCAATTATGAAGCTGCCTGAGAGCCACATTGTAGTTGAATGTCCAGTGTCGTTGATGATACCTACCAAACCCCACATACACACATATACACTTGCTACCTAGATCGATTCATAAGTTTATTGGCTAAAAATTGTGAAATTACTAGAAATTGAGAATTAAATGTTAGTTGTTAGCGATTTAGCCACTCCACATGGTACGTGACAAGTCTCCAAGTTGGGAACGAGCAGGCAATTATTATATCTACTCATAAGTATACCTCTGCAGCATCCAGTGACCAATGCGCTATGTATTCGCACGATTCTTTCGTTGCTCGACCCTCAAACTTCCGCGCTATGTATAAGATCAAGTCCCTGATATGGTTCTAGCTTATGTCCTGAATTGGTATGTTACAATGGCCCGTACAGTTGGGAATATGCGGGATACTTCTTTAGTATATAGTTGGAAGAACACACCTCATAAACTGCCATTTGCCACGCTATGTACTCTCTAGGTTCCACTGTGTCTTGGCTGCGGCAATTGATTTAGTTAGTTTTTAAGCGTTTACAATCGAGTTTTATCTGGTTTTCTGTTGAGTGCGAATTGCTGTTCCTTTTGCTATGAACCCTCCACTTTTTGGCACTTTGTGTTAAATGGATCACGGGGATCCGAAGCGATGGTGATGCTCTGAGCATCATATAAATCATATATATTGAAAACCTACCATGTAGCAGCCTTTTGTTTTATTAACTGTGAACCAACTAAAGCAGACGAAGCAGGGTTACGCCAACTCAAATCACAAAAAAAGAAGAGCAAAGGATGAGGATTAAGGCAAACCATTCAAATAACGTGGAATTTCAAATTACCTTACTGTAATTAACATTATTATTATTAATAAAGTTTAAGATTTCAAATATCAATAAATGAAGATAACATAAACTTAATATTGTTTTCCTATCGTAAAATTGCAGAGCCAAAGGGTATTAAATTTTCAGTCAGAAGTTTGCAAGGCAGTGAAGGAGACACCTCAGACCCCATAAAGTATATATATTCTTGATCAGCATCACCATCTGAATCGAAATACGTCTGTAAGTCTGTCTGTCTGTCCTCCTGTCTGTTTCTATGTAAACTAGTCTCTCAGTTTTAAAGCTATCTTGCTGATCGGCCGACTATATCGGATAGCTCCAATACGAGAGAACGGAATAAAAAATTCTTTCGCTGTTGTTTTTGATCAGATCGACTTGATTTCTTCTATTAACAACTCTATCATAAAGCTGCCATAGGAAAGATAGAAAAATATATAATAATGGAAAAAAAATTATAACGTCGTTGTTTTAATTTCCCGAGTATGATTTTTGGAACATCAAATTTTTTAAATACACTTAAATCGAGCAAAAAATTTCATCAAAATCGGAGTACTATATTATATAGCTGCCATAGAAAAGATCGAAAAGTCTATACAGAAATAACGGAAATTAAATGATAACATCGTTGTTTTTCATCAGACAATCATGGAAACATTTTTGGAATATAGCGTTTTCTTATGAGTCTTGAGTTTCAAATTAAATTTCATCAAAATCGCACAACTATATCATATAGCTCTCGTATGAACAATATGGAACATTAATATGTATTTTTCTCGACATAATGACTGCAAGGGTATATAAGCTTCGGCTTGCCGAAGCTATCTTCTTTTCTTGTTTTCATAATCTTTTTAACAAGATTGTCTAAAATATTTTAAATTAAATTTACTGACTATGGAAACCTTACTAAATGCGGGCGAGTTTTCCAAATTGATCTCTTGACTAACAATTGTTAAATATTAAACGTATTTTAGTTTCTTACATTTTACGCAAAGATGCCAACAGATCTTGCTATATACTTTACATTAAACCTCAAAATTGGTTTGGGTCCTCAAAAAAAATTTCTATCATAGCTCTAATATCTAATAGATTATGGCTTTAAAAAGATTGAAATTTCATTATCTCAAAGATAGCCTGTTCAAACGTTTTCTACCCCAGTGCGCAAGTCAGAATCAATGAAGCACAGGGGTGTTTTTTAACGACAGTCGTTACTTACAATTCCCAACTAGTTCTGCCTGTGCGGTCTAGGGAAGCCCGGTACCGAGCAGAGCAAAGCATACTTACCTGGCGTAGAGGTTAACCGTGATCACGAAGGCGGTTCCTCCGGAGTGAGGCTTGGCCATTGCACCTCGGCTGAGTTGACCTTTGCGATTATTCCTAATGTGAATAACTCGTGCGTGTAATTTTTGGTAGCCGGGAATGGCGTTCGCGCCGTCCCGACATAAAAAATAAATATAAAGAGAGAAAATATGAAGAAAGTTTTCCTACCTTTAAGTACTGCTTGAGAGCTCGCGTGATACAGGAAACAGTATGGAAACCACTTAGTTCGATAATTTTTAGGGTTTCTGTAAAAGAATATGCACATTCAAAATTCTTAACGGAGGAAAAAAAAAATGTTTAAAAAATATTGCAGGTACCTGATTTCTCAAAAACTGTTCTTTCTCTGCATACAAAAAAGAAAGGTAGTTTATACATACATATGTGAAAACGGCAATGGAAATATATAAAAAAGCTGCTATTGGGAAGATCGAAAAAACATCGTTTTCGTTTATTATAAATAAAGCAAAATATAATATTTTGTATAAAAATCGGTCGACTATGTCATATAGCCAGGGCCGGATTAAGGGCTTAGCCGATGGGCCGCGGCCCATGGCCCCCACATTCTAAATCTGGCCCAGCATATAGCTGTCATTAGAAAGATCAAACAATCTAAATAAAAGAAATGAACGAAAAACAAGAAAGAAAGCCCTTTCTTTACCCTTGCAGTAATCAAATATGTCGAACCAAATACATAGAGGCTAAAGAACATCGAAGCCATGTCGGTTTATCTATGAAGTTTCTGTATTTACGACGATTGTTCATATAAAAGCTATATAATATAGTCGTCCGATTTCTATGAAATTTAATTCTTAATTCAAGAGTCATTAGAAAACTCTATATTTCAAAAATTATACTTTTCTGATGAAACACAAAGATTTTAAATTTTTTTTTCGTTAATTTTATATACATTTTTCGATTTTTCCTATGGTAGCTCTGTGATATAGTTGTCAGATTTTTATGAAATTTTTTTCTCGATTCAAGGGAATTTGAACTCGATGTTCTAAAAATCATGGCCGTGGGATAAAAAACAACTACGTTATAATTTTTTTTTATTATTTATAAACATATTTTTCTATCATTTCTATGGAAGCTATATGATATACATAGTTGTCTAATTTTTATGAAATATTTTTCCCGATATTCTAAAAATCTTGCTCGTAAAAACGACGTTGTATATTGTTTAATAAAAAAAATCTATTTTTATGGACTTCGGTATCATAGAGGAGCAATTGAAAAAACTTGACTACGTAGGTTTATGGAAAATTCAATATACATAGTAAAGAACTATTAGAACACCTTTTACTTTATAGATGCGATGCGACTACTCGTTATGTAGACTGAACTGCAATGGTGTATGAGCATCGGCTCGTTGAATCGGGCTTCCTTTCTTGTTATAAACTAATGTATCATTTGTTATACATAAACTACGTCATAAAACATGGCAAGGATGAAAATAGTTTTTCTCACCCTTTGACACCGTTACACCAGACAATTGTTTTTGTCTATCAACGTAACAGTTCTTTTGATTTTTAATTTCGTCAATTGAATAAAGTAGTTGTAGTACAAACTTTGTGCTGCTGTTTAGGGTCTACGCGTAACTATCAAGCGATATTTAAATCAAGTAATACCAAGTTGCGGAGTGTTTATCTTTGCTTTCATATTTATTTTTTAGGTCGGGACGGCGCGAACGCCATTCCCGGCTACCAAAAATTACACGCACGAGTTATTCACATTAGGAATAATCGCAGAGGTCAACTCAGCCGAGGTGCAATGGCCAAGCCTCACTCCGGAGGAACCGCCTTCGTGATCACGGTTAACCTCTACGCCAGGTAAGTATGCTTTGCTCTGCTCGGCACCGGGCTTCCCTAGACCGCACAGGCAGAACTAGTTGGGAATTGTAAGAACAGACAATGTGTACATTTTACCCTTAGAAATTACAAAAAAAGGTAATACCAGTAACAGCAGGATTGAGCGAACTGTAAAATAACACAGAAGTTAGATTTCTGTAAACTTAACATCGTAAGACCTTACATTTTTTTTAGTTTTATTAACCGTGAGACGATTTTAGCTTCCCAAGTATAACTAGAAACTACATAATCGAAAAGTTGAAAAGTTAATTGTTGTATTGCAGGCTATATTGGAAAGCTACCACTGGGTAATAAGCCACTGGGCTTGGGCAAGAACTACCAGTCCAGTTGTAATTATTTATCACTCTTTGGTTGGATGAGTGGGTTCTACCAACTAGAGCACCAACTTCTCTATAAGATTTTCCATCCAAAAAACCTTTTAATATAATTTTCCGCTCCTCAACAGAAATTTCTTTGCCTTTTTGTTCCATGTTGCAATATACTCGTTATTATAATGCAAAAGTTTCATTTCGAGTAGATCGGCGACACGGAAATCGCACAATCCTGCATTCCACGAAGTTGAGAACCGTTGTATGCAGACCTTTGGGGGTACATTTTTTGGTAGTGTTAAGTTTAAAATTAAAAAACAAATATAAGACTATTTTGAATAATTTAAAAAAAACAAATACGTCAATGAAGAAAAAAATTATAATTATGTTAAAAAAAGAATGGCTTCAATATACGGATAAATGGCCAAACAGCAAGGATTTATAGTTCGATTTTGAAATTTTTTTGGGTAGTACGCAGAGATATACGGGTGAGTGTACTTTAAGAGGTCTGAGGTGTCTCCACACTGCGTTGCAAAATTAAAATAGGGAGATTATAATCAACTATATTTGAAAACTAAATCTGTAAAGAAATAAAACACTCTGACAACCTTGTTTTGGTTAATTTTCTTTAAGCTTTATTACTTCTATTAAAGTTAATGACTTAAGCTTATGATTAAAAATTGCATAATTTACGTAAGAAAATTGAATTTCTATTACACAGATCCTTTCAAGATATTTATTTGATTTTGGAATCAATTCGCTTCTCCATATTTTTTTTTCGTAATGTATATCGATTAAACATACGGATACGGATAGTTACGTAACTTGGAAAATAAAAAAAAACAAAACCAGCCATAAAGGTAGACGTTAAAGTACAGAAAAAATACAAAATAATTGCCAAAAAGACGAATAACCAAACGAAAGGACAAACACATTATTTACAAATACACCTTAAAGCTGGTCGTGTAAGGATACATATAGAATACACTGAGTAATGTTGGAGTTAAAGTATATAAAATGGAAATATTGTTGTGGTGTATACGTGGTATAAAAATAGAATACTAAAAGGCGTCCCTATGCGTATCTGGTTGATCGAGTGCCTCCTTTTTGGAAAAGCACAAAGGTTACGTGTTGGACCAGTGACGCTTCCCCGAAAGCAAAGTGTTCCTTCTAGTTGCCCAGCACAGCGTGGCTGTGTATGTTCTTGAAGTCCTGGGTTTGTGTCGTGCTGCGCAGCACTTCCAGCCACCTGTTGGAAGAAAGAAAGTTACAATTTGAGTGTGGAAACTTATCAAGCATAACAATATTAGCCTTACCTGTTGTAGGTGTGCGCGCTCTCCGCCCTGAAGAAATAGACGTGGTTCTTAAAGGAGAGCTTGAAGACGAACTCCTTTTGAACAGCGTCCTGGTGGCCCGGAGGACCCACTGTGTAGCCGAGCAGCGGCAGGCTGGCCAGGGCGAACTCGTCCTGGTAGCTCTTGTAGAAGTACAGGCAGAAGGAGGTGAACACCACCCAGAGCTTCTGCCAGCCGGAGCTGTTCTTAAACTTGCGCAGCAGATACCCGGACAGCTGGTTCTCGGCGGCAATCAGGTGGTCGCCCAGTCCTACGGTGGCGCCACGATGCCAGCAGACGTGCAGAGCGGTGTTGCTTCGCGACGGCTGCGTCCTGTTCTGCTGTTGCTGCTGCAGCTGCAACTGCTGCTGCTGCGGGCTCAGCGGTCCGCCCCCGTTGACGCTGCTGTTCAAGCTGCTGTTGTTCCCGTTGCTCAGGCCGAACAGGTCCAGCCCCTCCTCCGAGGAACCTGGAAGTCAGATGTGAAGGTTAGTGGATGTTCGCTTCGAGGAAGAGTTGGGGATCTGGGTGCATTTTCTTGCTTACAAGGCCTTGCAGCGTGCTTTTCTTGCCAGCCAAAATAAAGGAGAATATGTGTGAGAGTTTAAAAGAGGTTCAGCGAAAAGAGAGGTTAGCTTCGGAGGCCGAAGTTGGGAATTCTTAAATTTACGTTTCAAGTTGAATCCAAAATGCATATTTTTGACTAGAATCAATCTGCACTTCCTACTAGACTTGTTTAAATGAGGTGCCTTTATAACATCTTTTAAAACAGCTCACTATTAATGTGATATTTGTAAGCATAAAAAAAACCTTTCTCTAATCAAAACAAAATGGAATTCCCGGCAAATTAAACAATTCTAAACAGAAATCTAAACTTTTAGCAGCCCCTTCCCATTTGCATGTACTCACTGCAGTTCTTAAGCGTCGTCAGTTGCAGTTGCATGTTGGGCGGTCGGTTTTTTGATGTCCGCCGCCGCCTTGGAGAGTTCGGCCAGCCAGAGGGTCTTCTCGGCGGTGGTGCCCGCGCTCACTGTGATGGCGCATTGGCCGCCGAAGATGGAGAAGGTGTTGTGCTCGGCGTTCTCGGTGAGCAGCGATCGCACAGGCACGTGGCCCAGGATGCGGAAGCTCTGGTCCAGCGGCGACTTGGTGCCGTAGAGCAGCAGGTCCGAGAACAGGAAGAACATCCGCTGCTGCAGGCCGCGCTTCGAGTGTTTCAACAGGCAGCCCTGCCGGATGAGGCGCCGGTGGGGCTGGACCAGCTGCTCGAAGCTGATGTCGCGCTGCAGCTCGCACAGCTCCACGAAGTTGGCGGAGTCGGGCAGGTGGGCCCGGATCGCCTTGGTGCTGCGGACGAGCAGGTGGTGCACCGCCTGGCAGTCGCCGTAGTCGATGTGCTCCTCCGCGTAGTAGTCGCACAGCCGCTCCAGGATGAGCTGGTAGTGCAGCAGGCGGTTGAGGGGCTTCAGGAGAAGCTCGCCGAGCGGCAGGTAGCACACCTTCTGCTGCTCGAACTCCTTGTACACCTGGCGGAAGCGCTCGTCGCCCTCGTACATGTCGTTCAGGCAGTGCAGGATGTCCAGGTGCGTCTGCACGTACTCATCGTAGATGGGCAGCGCCGCCATGTGCTTCATCATCACGTCGCCGATGCGGTGGGCCTCGTGGCCGCCACGCCCCTCCCACTGCACCAGGCGGTGCTCGATGTCGCGCAGGAAGAGGTTGTGGTGCTGGGCCAGGGAGTCGAGCAGCTCGAACAGCGGCTGCAGCTGCTCCACGTCCCCGAGGCTGAGCACCTGGCGGAAGGACGTGTTCAGCACGTCCAGGTCCTTCTTGTAGGTGCGCTCCGTGACCAGCAGCTCCTTGGCCAGGAAGTAGCTGGGCTCGGTGGGCCACTTCCGCTTCTTCACCTCCGCCTCGATGTCGTGCTGCGTGGTCAGCGGATGCACGTTTCCGTTCCCCGTCCCGCTCCCGGTCCCGGTCCCATTGTGCCCATTCTGGTGCGGCGCGGTGGCCACGCCGGTGGCCAGCTCCTGGCGCTTGGCGTGCTGGATCTCCGCCTGGATCACATCGTACGTTCCGGCCTCAGAGCGGGAAAGGGAGGACGACTTATCCGATCCCAAGGTGAGGTCGTAGCGCGAGGGTGGAGTGGTTATCTCACCGCGCCTGTCCAGCGACATATTTCCATTTATGCCGTGGTATACTTCTGGGAATAAATCATATGAAGAAAGTCAAAATAACGAACCAATAAAATAAAGTGAAAACATAAATTTTTTAAGCCACTAAAAAGCCTAACAGATTACTTAATAACTTAATGGTTTAACGAAATACCATATAATATATTAAACATAAACTAAGCTGGTATGTTTAAACATTAACGAAACGAATTTAAATTAATTAAAACATAGTTAACGTTTCTCATGACTAAATGCTGGTAATTAAACTCTTTTTACTTTATTTGATTAATGAAGTTTTATTTATTTTGTTTCGTTTCTATATAATAATAAGTTAATGCTTGTTAAATCGATTGCTCGTGTACTTTTAATGGGTTTTTAATATTCAACCTCCCATCATTGTTTTTATTTGTTTGTGTAATCTTTTGGTTTGGCATAACGTGAGAAAAATTTTGTTTAAAATAAACCTTACTGAGTTTAAATTTGTGTTGCAAAGCAAACATTTCTTTTTCTACTTTCTTAAAATTCAGCTAGTACTCTTGTTGATTTAGTTGTCCATATACGAAGACTTTAGTTTGAAATACAACATTTGTAATTCAAAATATTTTCATAAATTTACTCCGTTTTGGCAACCTAAAATTTTGTTTCGAAATCTCTCTGCAGGGTGTTAAAAATGTACCTTTAAAAATAGATTTTCCTAACTAAAGATATTTTCTACGGGTAAATGGGATATCAAAGTAATGTTGGTCAACCTATAAACAAGCTTTCTTTTTAACAACCAATTTTCGATCTTTAATTACACATTAGACATTACATTAAATCTAAACACAACTAGATATTTTGATTCCAATAATTTTGATCAGGATTAAATTAGTAAAATTATTGTACGCTTACTTTACCTAATACCGATTTCCTTCCATTCAACTTCTCTAACAACACTTAAATATCTTTTTGTAAATTTAAAAAACAAACACACACTCATCTTTCCCACACAGGTATATAAGTTTCCAAACGGATTTAAAACTTAACAGGGTTTTCAAAAATTTCGTCCACTGCTTCCATTACAATTACATCTAGAATCTAGATAATACTTTTGGTATAGGGGTTTCCATTTTCGATTTGGCACATTTAAGTACTAAGCAAAACTAATAGCTAAGACAACATTTGTTCACTTGTGAGAATCGTAAGTAATAGTTAAATTGGTAACTTGCGTCTAAAAACGTTTGCCGTAAAATTAAAAACTTATACAGATCAATAACAATATAAAATATATATGACTAGAAAACCGCTTAATAGCATGGAATAAATGCCTTCATTACTGTGATAATTCCAAGTTTTGGTAGGAGAATACTTTTGATCGGGATGTAGAGCACCTGTCTGAAGGTCCTATAAATGTGGTTTGGGAACTAGAGTATTCGAATCTTTTCCAACGGTCTTCATTGGATAAGAGTTTTAAAGCATTTGGCTGATTTGTCGCTTCATCATCTGAGATTACTAAAACTAGAACATAGGTGTACATAACTAGTTAGAGGTCTGGCTCTGGATATTCCCACTTAGTATACCTTGCATTGACACTTGGGTTGGAACTCAGATGGATAGGATTTCATGACCTGCGCTATTGATACTGACGAAATACTGAACATAACTGCGCAAAGTTCGTGGCAATTGAATTGATCATATAATATATTCATTCAATAACTTTTATCTTAAGTATTGTGTCTCGATTCGTGTTGTATTAGCTAAATAACAATTAAACATTTGCCGTATCTTGTATTCCATTATTCGATGATTAAACAGTGCATTAAAATTTGTTCAACTCGTTTAACGTTTCCGCTCAACATGCCCCCATATATATATTTAAATGTTGAATTGATCTATAACATTGTCATATATAGATACCGCTCAAAGGCAACTCAATCTACACCGACCTACAGGCTTTTGCCGTCATTTCGATTATTTAAGGTATTTATTTGATTTGTTATGTTTTTATGTTTGATTAAAATGTTTTTACTAGAATTTGATTTGATTCTCTAACGCTTCAAGGAGAGTTATAATTCTTTTTTTTTTTTTTTTTGTTTGCAGCTTGTAATACTTTTGGGTTTTTCTTTTTGTTTTGTTAGCTTGTCGTAAATCAGTCTCAGTTACAAATAAGTTGGTTATAAGTACTTGGATCGTGTGTAAAAGTCGAAGAGTCGTTCTAAAATTTCCAAGGCAACGTAACAAATGAAAAGGCTGCATTCGGTAAGCACACGCAACGGGGTTTCTTGGGGGTTACTTGGCTGCTCCTCGCCCTCCCAAATCCTCGGAGATCGCTCCCTACTGGTCGCTCAACTCGTCCGAGTCGTGGAACTTGGGTGGCGGATCCACACGAATGTCCAGTCCGCAGGCATACCGCTCGTACTCAATGGGCTCGCTCTCGTAGTCGGACAGAAAGTCCGGATAGGGCACCTGTCTGGCCTGGGCTCCCGCTCCTGCCTGCTGCTGATCCTGTCCCGCTGCTTTGCCTGCGCCCCTCCTTATGGTGCCCGAGCCCGAGGCCCCCGCCTCTCCGCCGAATCCACTGCAGCTGTCCTCGCTGGAGTTGGCCAGTTCGTCGGACAGGCCGCCGCCCCGCGTCTCGTACTCGCTCTCCTCCGGGTTGCAGTAGCTGCGCCCGTGGTAGGGTCGGGCCGCGGGAACCGCTCCCGACATCCCCGAAGGCCCCGCCGCGGAGGAGTCCTCCCGCTTCAGCTGCCTCTTTTTGGTGCGAGCCGGCTTCACGGGCTGTCCTGTGGCCGGAGGCATTGGGTGGTTGGCCGGGGCTGGAACCGGCACCGGAGTGGGCCGCTCCGTCGCCAGGGCCTGGTGGTACATGGGCTTGGTGATGTGGCCCAGGCGGTCGTAGCGGGGAAAGCCCATCTCGTCCACGTTGTCGCTCATGTCCAGGCTCTCGAACTTGCCGCCGTACTGCGGATAGTCGTCGTACTCGTCCGTTTGCTCCTGATCCCGCTCCAGCTCCTCGTCGAACTCGAGGTACTGGTCGTCCCGCTGGCAGGACGAGTACTCCGAGCTGCCCGAGTCCACCTCCGGCACGTACCCCTCCGAGCACTCGGAGCTCTCCGCCTGCTCCAGCAGGGCCGCCGCCGTCATGTTGGCCCGCATTCTCTTCGCCGGCAGCTGGCGCTTCTTGCGGTAGCCCCTGCTCCGCATCTTCGCCTCCTGACCGCGCACGTCCAGCGAGCTGTCCGTGTCGTTGCCACTGGGCGGACTCTTCAAGGACGTGGCCACGGCCCCAGCACTCAGCTGGCTGGCCGCCTTCCTGGGGGGCTTCTGCAGCAGCTGGTTGGGCGGCGACTCCGAGCTCAGGCTGCTGGAGTAGTACGGCGAACAGCGGACCAACTTGTCCGCCCGCTGGGGCATCTGCGGGGAGCTGGGCTCCGTGCTCTCGCTGTTCAGGGTGTTGGTCGTGGTGGTGGTGTTGGTGGCGGAGGACGTGGAGTGCGGGTCCCGCTCCTCGTCGATCCGCATGGGCAGCTCCTGGGAGGACTGCTGCGACTTGCTGAGCATGTGCTCGTGGAAGGAGCTCGACTGGCGCAGCTGTTTGCTGGTGGTCTTGAACTCGCGGATCTGGGTCTTCGAGAGCGTCCTGTCGTCGTAGCTGTGGTGCTTGGCCAGCGGCTTGGGCGGAGGAGCCACCACGTCGCCGGGCAAGTCGCTGGGCGTCACGATGGGCGGCACGGTGGGCACTGGTGGCGGCTTCGGCTTCGCCACTGCCGGAGGAGCGGCATCCCTGGCCTTTCTCTCCTCGGCCTCCGCTGCTTCGGCTGCCTGCTCCGCCAGCCCAGGCTGCTTCATCTTGTTGAGCAGGGCCTGCATGATGGGCCGCGTAACTGCCGGCTTCGGTTTCGTGGGCGGCTGCGGAGCCCTCGGCTTCTGGCGCGCCTGTTGGGGCTGCTGGGTTTGGATCTGGGTGGTGGTCGGAGGGGGGCTTGGGCTCCGGGTGCCCCGTGCAGGGGCACGAACTCCTGGCTCTGGTAGCGCTCCGTCAGCTTCTCGGTGTGTGCATACAGACGCTCGACGAACGGCGACTCGGACTCCGAGCATATCTCCTGGCTCTGGTACAGCTTGGACATCATCTCCAGCGAGCGACGCTTTCGAGCGGCGGCACTTGTCTCCGGACCAGTCGGAGCGTCGCCGTGCTCCTGGGAGGTCCGAGCCTGGTTGCCATTGCTGCCGCTCCTCCGGTGCACCTGCGGCAGGGCGCAGCGCTTCTCCTCGCTGGGGGAGCTCAGGCTGGTTTTGTTCCCCGACAGCGCCTGCTTGAGCGGAAGGTACTCGCCGGGAGTCACGCCGACCAGCGTGCGACTGCTCGAGGTGGACCACTCGCTGATGGTGTGGGCCATCTCGGTGAGGGTCAGCGTCGTGTCGTCGCTCCGAGTCGCCGAGGTGGGCTCACTGAGCTTGTCCGTCTCGGAATTGGAGAGCATGTCGTAGCGCAGGCCGTCCGAGGAGCCGTTCTCCCCGCTGAACTTGTGCGAGAAGCTGCTTCCTCCGCTCTGCTCGTTGAGGCTCTCGGCCGACTTGTTGATCGAACTGATGCTCGACTTGGTCTGGTTGGACTTCTCGCTCTTGGCACACGAGTGCGTGGACACGGCGGACAGGCTGTCCGATCCGGAGAGGTTCGCGTACTGGCGCACTGTGTTGGTGCCCGTGGACCACTCCGAGATGCTGAGCCCGATGGAGGTGTCCTCCGAGTGGGAGCTGTGGGTGCACTTCTTCTGCTGCATCCCTCCCATACGCACGGTTCCGTCGAGGTCCGTGCCCAGCGAGCTGGTCTCCTCCTCCGAGTGGCTGGAGTGGCTGCACTTCTTGCAGCTCGTCCCGCCTCCACCGCTGCTCAGGCGGGCTTCGTAGTTCCTCCGCACGGTGGTCTGGTCCTCCAGGTAGGTGGTGCTGCCCGACAGGATGTCGTCGATGGAGGTGTCCGAGTTGTTGGAGCCCCTCGACAGCTTCCGCATCTGCGCGTCGGGGGAGAGCTGGACCTTAATGGTGCCCGGCATGAAGACGTCGTCGCTGGAGAAGAGCTCTTCCTCCGAGAGCGGGCTCCTTGGAGCGGGCGACCTTGTGGGCTGGGCGACAATCACTTCGGGACTGGAGTTCTTGCGCTGGACTCTGGCGGTTGCCTGGGTGGAGGAGGTGCTGCAGCTCACGTTCAGCGAGGAGGAGAGGCAAGAAGCTGCACTGAGCGTTGAGCTCAGACAGCTGACCGTGTCCGGCTGCAGTTGCTCGTTGCCAAAGTCATTGTCGTCGAAGGCCGCCGACATGAGATACGCGGTGTCCTCGTAGGGCAGCACTTTGGCCACGTCCGGCGGTCCCACTGCCATCTCCTCGTCCAAGACCACTTTGTCAGCACTTTGCACTTCGCTGGCGTAGTACGTCTCAATGCTCTCCACAATTATGGGAGCGCCGACTCCGATGGTACTCGAGGGAGGCGAGGGCCAGTCCAAGGAGTCCTGCGACTGCTGGAACGACATGCTCGCCTTCCAGCAGAAGGACTTGGGCACCGGTTTGTCCAGGTCCGGCATGGCGTACATCGAGTCGGCCGGCTTCACCGGCACATGATCGAAGGGAATCTCCGGCAGGGGCCAGTCCTCCGAGTCCTGACTGCCCGCATTGGAGAGACACATGAGGGTGTGACGCTCCACATCGTCGCCCTGCAGTTCATCCACGTGGGTCACTGAAAAGCGTCCAGTGACCAGAGTCGGCGATTTAGGTTCGTTGAGGCTTCCGAAACTGGAGAGTCGATCGCCAGTGGCCGAGTCGCAGGGAATCTCCGGCATCTCTGCGGAGGTGCGTCGATCAGCATCCGAGATGTAGGCAAGATTAGTGTTGCTCCTCGAATCGGAGCTCAAACTGGGCTGGTGGTCTGTGGACCCCACGGACTCATCCCGCATGCTCACAGAGTGCGTCGAAGCCTTGCTTACGTCGTCCTCCATGCTGGACTTCTCGGAGGCAGTGCTGCGTTCCGAGATCCTCGAGAGAGTTCTGCCTAAAGTGAAGCCTGTGCTGTAGCCGATTATGTCCGTCGGGTTCACCCCAATGCCACCCAAGTTGCTAGTCATGGCTGGGTAGCCGAAAGTGGCCGGAAAGTCGTTGAGTTCGTCCTGGTAGCTGGCATCGCTGGCGTCCTTCTGCTCGTCCGGGGAAGCTTCCTTCACGTCGCTGTCAGAGGAGTCGCGCAGGGGGTTTTGTGCATCGTACCGCTCGTAGCCCCCATCAGTCTCCACATGGTGCCAGGGGTCATCTGTGCTGGAGCTGTTTGAGCTTTCAATGGGGAACGGTCGCCAGGTGCTTTGTTGCTCCTTCTGAGCCAGGTCGCCGCGCCTTTGCGCCGCCCCCAAAGACCCGGAACTGCTTTCCGTCTCAAATGAGCCTCGAGACTCCACGCTCAGAGAGCCTTTGGAATCGAAGCTGGACTTCGACTCCTGGGAGCTGCGATCGCTGCCCGACTTCCCTGGCTCCGCCCGAGTTACCGACAGTTTCTTTCCCGCGTTGGCCCGCGCGGGCTTCTCAATGCGCGGTGGTTTGCGGGAGCCACCGGAACTGGATTCGCTGTCTTCAGTGCGTGCGCCTCCACGATCCAGGATCTTGGCAATACGCTCCTCGATGGGATCCAGATAGGACTCTGTGCTGTTCCCCAAGTCGATTGGGCTCTGTTTTTCTAGCGTGGGCGTGCTCGGCTTCTTGCCAACCAGGACCTTCGGCTCGTTGGTAGGCGTTTGCTCGTTGGACCCCGTGGGTGTGATCTCATCCTTGCCCACGTCCAGCTGGAGCATCCGCTGTTTGAGCTCCTGGCACTTGCGTGCCTCCTCGTTGCCAAAATCCTGAGAAATTCCCAGGGGTCGTGCAATGGAGCAGCTGACGCTAGACTCCTCTTCCACGGAGCTCTTTTCCTTGCCCACCGACAGGCTCCAATCCTGCTGTCTCTGGGGACTTGTGTCCTTCTCTCCGCTCGTCCAGGAGTCGGAGCTCTTGGAACGGTCACTTTGCTTGTCCAGGCTGCGGTTTTTCTTGCTGCTGTCCGAAGAGCCGGTATACTTCTCGAATGTCTCCAGCACGGACTTCTCGATTTGGGGACTCGCGTTGGGTGGCGTTAAGAGGATGTTTAAATCAGAAGTGGGAGTGGCGCAGTTCGAGTACTCCAGCGGGTTAGCGTCCTCCAAAGTGGCCTGCGTCTCGAGAACATTGCGATCTGGTTCCAAGGTGCGAGGCTCATTGTCAGACGTATCAGATCCTATAAACTCATCGCACTCCACCGTCATCCAGGACCCTGTTTCATCGCTCCGACTGCGGTCCAGACTCAGTCGATTTGTATCTTGCCTCCCAACCCTCAGATGGCGTCTCTCGGAGGAGTTGTCGTCCTCCTCAATGGATGGCTCTTCGCACTCAATAGTGGGCACTCGGTGCGGGTAGCCTTCTGTTCCGGCTATTGCGCCTGGAATCGGCGACTTACTGGCCGGCGAGTGGCTGTCATCAGCGGAGACGAAGGAGTCCAGGCTTTCGGCTGTGGAGGGCTTCCGACTGAAAGCCCCCTCGCTATCGCGTGCGTCCTCGGAGGGCAGCGATCGTTTAAGGATCTCCAGGGACCGGCGCTCCGAGATCACCGCTTGCATGTCGATGTCCTCCTGAAGGGGCTGAAACAAATAAATAACATTTACTTATAAAAATCTCATCAAGACTTCGCGGTCAATTTAATTTGATTTTACAGAAATTTTGCGATGAATATAATTTTACTGATTAAACCAATCAACTTTTTAAAGAAATTGCTAATAGTTTTCACAGTTGCAGCGAAGCAAAAAAAATGAAGGTTAATGTTATCTGTAAATCGGAAATATGTAAAAAGAGAGCAAAAATGTTTCTGTTTTAATATTTTCTAGATGAACATTTTTTAGTTTAAAATTTTAACAGCTAATGTTGATGGTTATGCATATAGGCATATGTTTTATAATTTTGATAGATAAATTAGCAGCAAAACTCTTTTACCTTAAAATGTCAAATTGAAAAAGATATCAAAATGTTTACTTCTTTAAAGGCAGCGTGACATTGCTCCCGGCTTGGGTTCTTCCTAGTTATACCATCGCAAAATAATAAATCATACAAAAGAAGTGAGAGCTTACCTCTTGGACTTGGTATTGGTGGGCAAACATTCGGCGATCTCCGATAGCACTCCTGGCCACTGGAGCCGGCTTCTCCTCATTCTTCTTTGCCGCTTCGGCGGCCTGTCTTTTGTCATCAAGGCTGCGAGCCTTGACGTCTGGACCGAGATAGTGATGCTCGGCGGGCCTCTCCAGACTACTTGATTTCCCATCTATCTTCTTGTGGACAACATTGCCCTCGATCTTCTGCTTCAGCTCCTGCGCCTTGGCAATCTTCTTGGGCGATTTAATGAGCATGTCCTCGGGAGCGTCAGACTTCTCGGAGTCTTCAAAGGACTTATTGCGATCCTCGAAGCTGCGGTTCGCTTTGTCCAGTTTGTCGGGGCTGCGTCCCTCGTCGAAGCTGCGGCTGAACTTGACAAGCGAGTTGTCGAGCTTCCTGGGACTTTTAGCGATCAGAACGTGATCCTCCGCCTTCGACTTAAACTCTGTTTCGATAATGATCTTGTCCCCGTCGGTCTTGACGAGTATTTTATCCTCTGGAGCGGGGAAGGCAGGCAAAGTGTCCTTTACCGGACTCAGCATGGTAATGGTCTGCTTCATGGCTGATTCGTATAGCTTCTGCTGGCGTTCTTTGCGCTTGGCGACGTCTGCCTCGGTCTCCTCTTGCGACTTGCTCTTGTCCTTGCTGAGACGGCGCATCTCGATCGACCGAGGTCGCTCCTTTGGACTGGACTTCTTACTGCCTCTCCCGTCACGGGACTTGATGTCGTCGGCACTGGTCCGCCGGGATTCCGGTCGGCTTCGCGACACCGGTTTTCCCTTGTAGGGCTCCGATGTCTTGAGCTTACCCTTGCCAGTGCTCTCGATGCTGCTGGCCCTCGAGACTCCGGGCGACGTCTTGCGGGAGCTGTTCGCCGAGCTGTAGGGCGACCAGTCAGTGAACCGATACTTGGGTATGTTTAGGATGAGGTGATCACCGCTCCGCAGCTTCATCTTCGACTTCTTCTTGTCCTTGATCTTGACGCCCTGCAAGGCGATCTTCTCGATGTACCGCAGTTGATTGAGCAGCTGGGCCTCCTCGCTGTCGATGGTGACTGCGCTCAGCAGCGAGTCTTTGCCGTTCGCCTGGTAGCTACTCTGCGTGGGTATGGATCCTGCGCAGGAGTGGACGCTGTCGGCGGTGTCCTCTTCCTGGGCGCCCGTTTGGCCCTCCCGCTCCAGGGATTTCTCCTCTAGAATCTCGGCCTCCTCCTCGAAGCCAACGGTGTCGTCCTTCGAGGAGAAGGCGTTCATGGGCGGCAGGCGGTGAAGCGAGATCACCGGAGTGTCCAGGCTCTTGGTTCGTCTCTCCGTCGTCGGCGACTGCTGCTGAGTGGCCTTCTGGCGCTGCAGTGACACAGATCCCTCCGAGAGATTTAGTCGTGCGTGGGCGAACAGGATCGGGGCATGGCCCTTGGAGCGCATCACAATCGAAGAGTCGATTATCTCCTCGATCAGCTTCACCTTGGACTTGGCCCCGCTGGCTGTCTGCTTCTTCAGAGTGTAGTCGATGTCCGATCCGGTGATGCGCTCCTCGTGACAAGTCTCATATATGTCGTCGTTGCTGCGGAAGAACTCGGCGTGTTCCAGAATGGGCGAGGGAATGTTCTCGTTTCTCTGGTAGTCGTTGGTGCACTCGTCAATGCGGCCCCGCATGGGCATGTGGGGCTCGTCCTCCGACGAGGGAATCGAGATGGAGCGCTCCGATATGCGCCTCAGCTCGGAGGCATTCGCGTACTGGGGGTCCAGTTTCTGGGTCTGATAGCGGCTCTCCAGATCCGCCAGTCGCCTACACTGGGGAGGCGAGCCCTCGATCTCCGTGGAGCTCATGGTCTGCCCACGACCCCAAGCTGCCGAGATGAGTCTACTCTGCTCGATACGAAGAATGGACTCGATCTCCTTGCGAGATTGCGGCGGCGAGAATTCCAAGCGGTCGGGAATGGCCTCCGCTGAGCCAAACACGTCGTCCGAGTCCAAGCTCTCGTCATCGGAGGAAAAGGAGGTGATGCGGGTCTTGCCCTTCTTTGACTTCCCAGCCGACTTGGTCTTGGGAATGACCCTAGGCTTGTTGGCCTTGCGGGCGTTGGCCTGCAGCTCCTTGCGAAGGCTCTGGATAAGCTCCATCTGCTTCTGCTCGAGCTTCTGCTGCTGCATGCTTTCGGTTCGCGAACTGGTGGCCGAATCGCTTTCAATCTGGCTTAGTTTCTTGTTCAGTTTCTCCAGCGTTGAAGCATCCATCTGCTTCGTAATATCGCGCTTTGGCGACGACAGGTGTATTGTGGGAATGGTCTTGTCGATCTCCAGCGTGATGGGGTCCACTTTCGAGAGGTCAATGTTCTGCGTGAAGAGGAACTCCTTGGTGTCCGGGGGCAAGAGGCTGTCGAGAATGTCTGGCAGGAAGTCGGACACACCAGCCCCCGGAATACCGCAACTCGCCTTTGGAGACTTTGGGGACTTCGGCGACTTCGGAGATTTGGGGGACTTCGGCGACTTTGGAGACTTTGGCTTAGTGTGCTTCTTCTCGCTGGGCGAAGGAGCAGTTCCGTTCATGATGTGCCGCTTGTGGAGCACATAGGGAATGTCCTCCTTCAGAACTTTGGTGAAACGCTTCTCGTAGTCCCTGAAGAAGCTCTTTGGCAGCTCGAAGCCCGTTTTAGGCAGCTCCTGGGCGACCTGTGAAGTGGGAGCGCCATCGTAGCACTTGGGGATTTCGAAATTGCCATGTGCTTTGCAAAGAGGAGGAGCGCTCGGGATCTGCTTGTAGATGTAATCCTCATCGCTGGAGTTTGAGTCGGCCGGGGTTAGATCAATGGACTTCTGGTGCATGAGCACATGGCGGCGCGAATTACTCCCCAAACGGGCGCGATTCGCCAGCGAGTTGGGGTCACTCTTGGTGCGCTCCACTGTGGCATGAGACGAGTAACTGAGGGGCACCATTATCGGGTTGTACTCCTCGAAGTGCGTCTTGGCCATAAGCTCCTCCTTGCGAGTTATCTTTTGGTGGGCCATGAGACGCGCCTGCTGCTTCTCGAACTCCGACACCAGCTCTGGAGTTAGCGGATACTCTGGACTCTGCTTGCTCTTTTCGTCCTTGGGCTGCTGGCCCTCCCACTGCTTGGTGTACTTCTGGATGCACTCGATGCGATCCTGGTCGAAGCTGAAGATGTTCTCGCTGTCCGACCGTCGACGGAAGGCGGATATCTTGCAGGACTGTGAGTTGCCCCTCTTTATCGGGGCCATCTGATCGAGCGAGTCTCCCGTCTGGATGTCCTTTTCTCGGCAACGTTTTCCCGAGGCCGGAGTCGACACCGACTCCGGTGACTTGCTGCCGAAGGACTTGGCGTTGCGTTCGATCTCCACGTTCTGCAAACTGATCGAGTGCACCTTCGAGGTCTTGTGCGTCTTGTTGCTGGGGAAGGTGGAGTACGTATCGCGGCTGTCGTAGAAGGAGCTGTTAGCAGTGGAGCTATGTGTGTCCGAAAGTAGGCAGTCGTGGCTCTTGACCTTTGGCCTTGAGTACAGGCCCTCGGGTGCTTGTTCCAGACCGGCTTCGACGGCATCGTAATAGTCACTCTTCGACTCCTGACTGGACTGCGCAAACTTCTCGTACAGCTCCTTCTTAGTGAACTGCTTCACCTTTTTGCCAGTGGTGGTGGGCATCTCATAGTTGCGTCCGAAACAATCTCCCACCAAGGATTCTTTGGAGTCCTGGCTAGATGCCACCGAAGTCTTGCTCTTGGTGGTCTCCCGAGACTTTTTGCTGTCCGTGTGGTAGAGACTGTCGCGCGACTTCTTGCTGGAGTCTGAGCTGCGGGAAATCTTTGTCTCGAACAGCTCGCTCTGGCTCTCCTGGCTGGAGGTGCGGGTCAGAGCCTCTTGGATCTTCTTGTAGAAGTTTCCGTCCGACTTGACCGACAGCTTTTCGCGCGGCAGATAGCGTGGGTCCTCGGCGTCCCATATTTCGTTCATAATGTCCGCCGCGGACTTGGATTTGACGTCGATTGCGGAGCGGTACTTGTGTTGTTGGTGCCCCTCGGACACAGACTCGTCGTCACTTGGAATGTAGTTTCCCGAGTCCAGCGAACAGGAGCGCATGTGGTCCTCGGAGCGACCACGTCCTCCAAAGAAGTCGATGTCGTACTTCTCGAGGAGTTCGTAGCTGTCCTGCGAGATGTCGTCTTGGGAGCCCGAGTAGTCCAGGTGCTGGCCGTGCTGGCGGCGGTGCTCCTGGGTGTTGTAGGTGCTTCCCGGGTAGCTTGAGGAGTACACCTTGCTCTGCGGCAGCGGAGAGAAGTCCTGGTGGGCATCGATCGAATGGTTCTTGGCCACATACAACGAGTGACGCGAATCATCGTAGCGAGTCACTGGCGAGTCAATCCGGTTGGAGGAGAGGAACTCCTTGTCGAAAGCGGTCATCGGCTTGGGCTGCTCGCGGTCGTAGTAGGTGCTGCTGTACCGCTCGAAGAGGTCCTTGCACGAGCTGCTCTTCAGCCAGGACTCGCGCTCAACCTGGTCGTAGATGTTCTCGCCGTCCTCGCCCTCATCCTCCTCCTCTTCCTCTTCATCGTCCATGTAGTGGGCGGCAGCCTCCTCGGGTTTCACAAACTGGGTCGTCGAATAGAGGTTGCCCGGGGCCAGCTGGTACTCAAGCTTTTCCGAGGAAGAAGCGAGCCGCGCGGGTGGAAGAATGCCCACCGAGTGGTGGGTGATGTAGTGGCTGTCGTATGAGTCCACCGAGTCAACTCCAGACAGTTCCGAGTTCCGGGGAAGGGAGTGGGTGTGCCGGGAGCTCTGCGAGTCCAACGAGGGTGTCAAGTAGTTCTCGGACTGAGCCAGCTTCGTGCGCTCTCCTTGGCCGTACCGCTTGGTGCCGAAGCCAGTGCCAAAGTAGGAGGAGGACGAAGACTCCGAGGGGTGGTTGAGATCGTTGTGATACTGATAGTTCCCGCTGTTGTAGCTCCGTTCCTGGACAGCAGCCGCGTAAGCAGAGGTGCTGGGCTGCTGGAGGAGAGCCGGAACTTGGCTAAGGCCCATTTGCTTGGCCCTCGTATACTGAAGGATTGACTGATCGATAAACTCGTCGCTGAAGTGCTTCTCGCGGATCTTGGACTTGGCCTTGCGGTTAACAGTGGCATAAATGTCGTTCCGCTCGTTGAGGTTCAAGTGCTCGCTGTTCGATATCTTGTGCTCCTGGTGGGCGGAGCTGTGAAAGTCCGGATACTTGTAGTGGCCCATGTCGTTGATGTCGGTGTAGATTATGTTGTCCGTCTCAGTTTCGGTCGAGTTGGCATTGGCGTTGTTCAGCATGCACTGCTTAGACATCGAATAGCTGGTACTGCTATAATGGACTGGCGTGGCAGTTTGCGACTGGGACTCCTGTGACCGAAGCTGCGGACGATGGGCACTGGCCAAGCCCGAGCCCAAAGCCGAGCCCGATGCTCCCGCCGGTAAGGCTGCCCCCATAGTCTCCCGATTGATGGTAGATGCCGTCAAGTCCGAATCCGCTTCCTCCTCGACTAATTCCTCCTCCTCCTCCCCCATAGGCTCCCCCTCCTCCTCCGTGTCCGCAGTTCCCGGGTCCTCCACCTCCTCCTCCAACTCCATGGAGCTGTTGAGATCCGCCGAACGACCCGCTGTGCTGGTGTTGTGCATAGTGTTGTGGTTGCTGCTGCTGCTGTGCGTGTTGATGCTGATGAGCTGCGGCGACGCAGGGACAAACGCTTGGGATCCCACTGAGACTCGACGAGGGGTGCTGCTGCTGTACAAGTGGGACAAGTGGCTCAGACCTGAACGCGCCGGGTGAGACAACAATTCCGGATTAGGCCGCGGATCGGGTTCAAGGTAATCGGAACGAAAACGCAACGGGAACGAAAACGCAACGGAAACGAAACCAAATCGAAATAATATCGGACTCAACTGAGCAGACCGCAAAGCAAACTCTGAACACTGGAATGGAAATCATTATGTTACGAAATCCCACTTGCATGGGCTTAAAATCATACACTATTACTAATTAGTAAAATTAACTTATACATATTTGTAAAACTTAAGTAATTCGTGGACAGTCCCACAAATAGGAAATCATACGAGCCCTTTTAAGTCTAATAAAAGTAATCGTCTACAAATATAATATAAGCCTCTTAGACTCATTTTCAGGTAACTTAACTTAACGATAACTTAAACGATAAAACTAAAGTTCTCAGTTAAATTAAAAATCATTAGCACATTCATGGAGGACAGTCGGGGGACTCACCTAAATTGTGATCGCCTGGATGCACACGAGCCTGATCGGGACCGCGCTGTTGGAGGTGGCTGCTGTGGCTGGGAGAAGTCCACGACTGCGGTCCCTGGGGCGAAAGCGAGCGGTTCGAATTCATTTGGTCCATAGCCACTGCCGAGTGGTGTTGCCGTTCCGCCGCCGCCGAGCATTCCGCTTCCTCCTGGGAGGTTGGCGAGTCCGCTGCATAGTTCTTCGTCTGATAGATCTCCACCTGGGCTGCTGTGACCTGGAAGGTGTTTGGAGCAGCTGTTAGTCGGGTGGCGGACAGAGGGTCGCAGGGAGAACTCACTTGAGAACGCATGTGGTCGATAGGATTGTCGCGTCGGCGATCCAAGGTATCCGCTGCCTTCTTCGTCTGAGAAGGGGTCATCGAGTCGCTGCATTGATTGCGATAGTCCCATGCCGCTGCAGCGTGCAATTATAGGCAAAGCGAAATTAAAACCAAATCATTTCAAAGCATACACTATCGAAACACAATAACTCGACTCGACTAGACATTCACTCATCATCAGCTAGCAAATTAAGACTGAACTCAAAATTGAAATAAAGACGAACCAAATGATATCGAATCGAATACATATATTCATCAAAACGAGTAACGAAATAAATACAAACCAGTGTCAATTGGGAGAAGGGGATTGGCTGAAATGCTGGAATTCACATACGTATGCGATTGACTTCGGCTACTAGCATTCAGTGGCCCTTGCCGGAATGACTGAGACCTGCATCAAAAGAAAAGACAAGAGGATACCACGTTTTATATTTTCACATGCTCATTTTTGTTTTTTCTGTTTTTAGTTATTCTTTTTAGTTTTAGAATTTTCTTTAGGCGGTAGTTAGGCGTTTTCTTTAGGGATTAGATTAATCGGAGAGTTTCCTTTGTTTAGATCAGTCTGGTTAGAAGTTTTACATTTTTTAGAGTTAAGAGATTTACTTATCTTAGCGAAGTCATTTCAGTTCAAATTATAACAAATGAAAATGATAATAGAAGACTTTTAACAGCAAGTAAGCAACTACAAACTATACAACAGAACACTTCAGATATCCATTTCGACTACATGGGCTCGGATCTACTTGAACAATAAAAGTTCTTAAAATAGTTAAAACCTCTGCTGGTTGTAAAATCTATTTATCCATAGTATTTACGAACGACTACATTTCATTTCTTAACTGCAAATATTTTATAAATTCTATGTTTATTAAATTTTTTTGTTTTTGGCTCTAAGGGGTATTTAGTTTAGGGTAAACCGACTAATTTACTACACATTTATTTGGAGCAATGGGGAGAGTTTTAACGTGTTTAGCTGGATAACCATCTACTTTATGCTTGTGGTATAGTCTACACAACAACACACAGAAAAAGTACGACAAAGGGAGCTTAGGGGGAGTTATCATAGGATGATTATTTTAAAATATAACTTTAAAGTGCAAGCCAAACAAGGGATGAGGCTGTCCCCGTATTTGATGATTTGCAATGATGTAGTATGTGAAAATTTGAGCGGAGTAGGGAGTCGGTTTAAATGGATGGTAAACAAATCAGAATGCTTTGGAGTATAGTACACATATAGGGATTGCCAATTCGGTTGTAAGTTCTTTTCACTAAGTAACCATCTACTTTTTTTAATTTTACTGAATTACAATAACACTCACACTTTAACAAAAGCATACATACCCACACATTGGGTAGTGAAATAAATCAAGAATGGTAAATTAAAGAATACATTTAAATCAGAAGTGATAGTAATTGAAATGCTTGTCGTTCTTTGCTGTACATTTGACTAGTTTTCAGTTTTTGTTTTGGGGTTTTCTTTAATTTTTATTCAACTTTTTTAGTTTTTGTGCTATTTTAAGTTTTTACATTTACTGTTTTGTACCAATTGTTTTTAAATCCTCTTCTCTTTTCTAAGGCGCATTTTTTTGATCTTGTCATTTTTTTTGCATGTGTGTTTTTGCGGGATTTTTGTTTCAGTTGGTTGGGTAGTAAATAGTTTAAAGAAATTCATTCGAAAATAACAAACAGAAGCCACAAAAAACGTGTGTTGTAAAAAGTGTAAAGAAATAACGAACGAACGAGTCGAGTTGGATGAGAACGAAGTCAGATGATTTGGCAATGTAGGCTGATGAAGATATTACTTGTATATGCTTAAAAATATAATATAGAGATTATTTATATTTTATGCTCTTAAGAAAATTGTAAAGAATTTTGAGATGGATTTTGTTTTGCTCAAGGAAATATAAGCTGCAAAGCCAAAGCTTCAATAATTCCTTTCCCAACAGTAAAAGAAATAAAATGAAATAAAATAAACACGAGTATTGGTAAAAGCTTTTGACATTTAAATCTGGGATTAAAAAGTAAAGCCATCTCGGCGTTATCCGCCGCATACCTTTGGAAGTTTTGACGTTTTACGTAGTTCTCGCGGACAAACTCGATAATCTGCTTTTGCGTTTTGCCGCTATAGCTGCAATATAAATGTACATAAATAAAATTGTGGTTTTAAGAAATTTAAGTTAATTCATTTAATAAGTACCGGAATGAGCTGCCCCGTGAGATAACCCTGGTTTTGCGCCTGGGCGTATTTTGCACGGTAGTGCATCGGAAGAACCCATGATTCTCTACGCACTTCTTCCAAAAGTTTTTGCACTCGTTGCGCCCCTCGAAGAAGAACTCCACAGTGTCTTTGTAGTATCCCTAAATTATTAACACAATTTAAACATTGCCATATGGGGTATTTCAAATAATCGGCTTACATATCCCTCGGGATGAAGTTTGACCAGAAAACGCTTGCGCTTGAAGGAAATTTTGCGAATCTTCGCCCAGGAAAAGGTGTTAATGCGCGTGATGTTCTGGAACACCGTGATGCCCATATGGGCAACAGCCAGGTTGAGTGGCACCCCCTCGACATCCTTCGCCGGATGCATTTTCATGCCGTAAAGCTCACACCTCCGAGCAGTCTCCAAAAGGTTGAGATCCGCCTCCGCCGGAGACTGGCCACTGGTAGGAATAGTGCAAAATAATTATTAGCAAAATAATAATTATTATTATAATTGATTTACATACAAGTGCTTCTTGTGGTTCTCCATAATCTTCCGTTGCATAGTGGCATCCTGGTGTGGCACAAAGCGGTACGAGGACAGATAGGTGTGGTCGGGATAGTCCTCGGGCACAAAGTCGCCACATGATGCCTGTACGATGTAGCTGGCCATCAGGGCGGCCGTATTCTCATTGCACTGCAAGCTACCTGTGGCCAAATCGCGTTTGATTTGCAGGCAAAACAAATACCTAAAAAAGAGAAACCTTTGTGAGTCATGCATCTTTGAGAACACGTTTTAATCGCCCTTCTGACGCCGTAACAAAATCTTCTACTTTCAGCTTTGAAGTCAAATTGGCAAATCATATTAGCATTTGAAACTTAGTCTCATGTTTTATATCTACCTGGTATACTCCTCTTCCAAATGCGCTGGATCGGGCGTGTAGAACTTGATGCAGAAGCGCAGCACTGGATCGATGAGTGAGAGGCCCACCTGGCGATTCATCGGCTTTTCCAGGTCCAGCCAGTATTTGGTATGTGTGGACACCTCCTGGTACTCCAAGCCAAAGTAGTCGGCCTCGAGTAAATTCAACTGGCGGCAAACTTGCTCAAAAAGCACACGTCCCAGGGCTTTGGCCTGCAAAAAGGAACCAAATAATTGGATTTTTGTTGAGTACAATTTGACAAATCAACCCTTTTAATTAACTTGTGTAATTGGGGACCATTTCCTTGGAGAAATCACTTTATCGATCGTTGTTGAGGGTCGTCGACAAAGTAACAATTAGAGATTCTACTACATGATTTTAAATATGTTATTTGTATGCAATCATATATAAATTTATCCTAATTGTAAGGGCAAAAGGAATCACAAATCGGTAAGAATGAACTCTACTTTTCAAAAATTTTCTTGATGTGAATAACTTTTAAAATTTCAATTTACAAATTGGCAAAGTTTAATCTTCGATATTAATTTTGCTGTAAATTTGTTTTCTAAGAACTCTTTAGACTATTGACCCTTTAATAAACTTTTAAAAACAGTGTAAGTAAGTAAGGAGGGTTATTGCTACGGCCTGAGCAGCTGAATTTTATTAGAAAGCTCAAAGATGTGCTTAAGATCCTCGCACTCGTTTAGCTCGTTAAAATCTTATCTATCTTGCAAATTGCCGCTGATCCCAGATGACGTCATACCACAAATAAGTGGTGGGCGTTGCGTCTGAATGCATTTGCATAAATTTCAATTGGGTGGACGGCTGCAATTAATATAAATAAATGTTTGGCATTGTGACAAATAGAAGCCAACGTTGGAATAGGCAAATTAAGCATATCTGGGATAGTAGTTAACCACTTTATATTAGCGGTCGCAGGTTGTCTTTTGTTTTCTACAAAAGTGCTTTCTTAAGTCCATAAGTTTTTGGAAAAACTGAAACTATGAGTTTAATTTGAAAACAAGACATTTACTTTACAAGCAGCGGTTACAAAATAATACCGCATTTCGAAGTATAAATTAACAAATTAATAAACCAAATTGTTTGCATAACAAACCCCATTCACAAATGACATTATTATCCTGAGCTACGCCCTAGAAATGTTAATTTCTTTTAACAATTAACAAATTGGCTACACGGACATAAATGGGCTACATCCCGATAGCCTATTTATTTCCGCACATATCCCTCGCCTGATACCTATTAAGACTCCAATATCCATTTGCTAATCGCGACTGGCCCTGTGTGTGACTCCTGAAATTTATTAATTTGGGATCAAGGAGCAATCCCCGGCAGATATTTTGGCATTTGGCAAATAAAGGGATTCGCCTAGCGCCGCCAACCAATCAGGCAGAGTGCTTAGTCAGTTCGATTCGGTCGCCAGCGCCATAAAAGTCGGTGTCAATCTATCAGAGTGTTAAGTGTTCTGCAGGGCGTGCCAATATTATATTCAAAACCGTGTGTGTGTGTTTGATTTTTGAATATTTTATGCTTCAAACTGTATGTAAGCGCAGATCTAAAGGACAACAAATTTGTTGGCTGACATCCAAATTGCTTTTGCGGCTTTTTAGCACATAAATCGAATGGTTTTGGGCGTGGCTGGTCAGCATATTAGAAAAAGATACAATTTTAAGGCGAAATTTGTTCAGTTTGTGTATCATTATACAATATAATTAACTATTTTGTTATGTGAAAAAGTGGCCGGTTTTTAAACAAATTAACTTTGTTTGGAAAGCTAATTTAAAAGACTTTTCTGATATCAGACATTAGAAGTATTCGTTTCTCGCTTGTTAATACTTAATCAGATCGAGAATTTCTTGCATATTGTCGACTAAAGGTTGTTTAGACAAATTTTAAAACCTTTCCGTTGTAATTCCGGAAAGCTTTAATTAATTTGGCAGGCAAGGCAGGAAGGGAGAGTCAAAATGATTCTATCCGTTAGAGAGTCGCCTGCACTTCGAATCTTTCCCAGCAACCGCAGTCATTGTTTTCAGTTTTTAAGCCAGGATGAGGCAACAATGAGGCTACAGCCACGCCCAAGCTCTGACATTCTCCTGGACCGAACATACAGGCTCACACGCATACAACTGCTGGCCATTCATTGTGAGCGGTTTGCTCCCTTAGAGCAATTTATCTTTTTAGGCCAATTTTAGGATCTATTCTGACTACAAAACAAACCAATTAACTTTGGCGACTTCTGCAGGCACCGAGAACGGAAATGGCAAAACGACAGGAAGCTTTTCAATACGAGCAACCCTTTCCGCCACTCCGCTCTACATACGAGTACACACAGGCGGAGGGAAAAGTTGGCCCGCAATTGTCGGTTGTTCAATTTGTCGCCATCAGGAGACGAAAACGGGACAAGGAGCATTAGTCTGTGCAAACCACCAGCAGGATGTGACGCATCTGCACTCGGAATAAATACGCACAACCGATAATCGGTTATCTAATACACACATTTTTTATCTAGAGATTATATTTACTTTTTTGCGCCTTTATCGTTAAAGCTAATAAATTTGTTTTTGTTTAATACATCAATTATCTGTTACATTTTTATTTAGGCAAGAAAATAATTTCGAAAAACGAACTCCACAAAAAATTGTATACTGAATTTTTGTTTTCAAAAATTGATGTGTTTAACAGAAATAATTTTTTTCAGTTCATGGGAAACTGTGGCAATTGGAAACTGGAAGCGGAAAAGTGGCTGAGGACGTTACCTCTCACCTCGTTCCACTTGCATTGTCCTTGCCTATCGAATAGCCCCAGCTAACCCCATTGATATACATAGACACCAAATATGTTGTCCGACGTCTATAGCAAACTTTGGCCAAAACAGGTAAACATTTTTTTCAAAAAAGATTTCTCCATTGAACTTTAAAAGAAAATATGGTTATTGTCACCCACAAGTGTACTTAAGGGGTTATATCCAGTTGCGAGGCCAAAAAATTGAGCTTTTTTGAAAATTATTTTTGGAGAGGCTATTGTATGTATATGTGTTATATATGTAGGATTGGTATAGGATAGTAGGATATCCCTACTGTGTGTAAGTTAAGGATCTAGTATTAAGCATGAAGTATTTAGTATTTAAGCATTAATGTTAAGGATGTTAAGCTTTGAGGAATACGACCACACTCGAGAATAAGTTACAGAACCGACAAGTTGAAGCTAAGCGAAAGAGTGTAAAAGAAGTTGAAGAAATATAAAGAGGAAAACGCGAAGTGATCTGCAAATTAATAAAAGCATTAAGAAGATTCTGGAAGTTCTATTAAATAAACATTTGTGGGTGGCTTTTATAAGTTATACCCTACAAATATTGGGGGCTCGTCCGGGAAATGAAATATGTAGAACATTCTGGAAATTTCTTTTTGCGTCTTTTATAAGTGCGGATGTGTGTGTGCGCGTTGTGCGAAACAAGAGAAAGAGGATTGAAAACTGCGTAAAGTCGAGGCGTCGTGGAAATTCGTGGAAAAGGAAGTTTTCGAGAATTGGCGAAAAGATCGCGGGTCGATGGCGTCACACAGACAATCATAACGACGTGAAAAGTGGCAACTGCGCATTTACTTACACATAACGATCGTCAAATCGGTGTAAGTATGTGTGTGGAACACGAGCAGGAGGGTGCAAGCAAGATCGAATATTGACGGCGTCGAGGGAGTTGCAGTTAAAGAGGTGCAAATCTAACGACACAGGGGTCGTGGATTGGCAGGCTGCAACAACAACAACGGCTAGAGAGTCGTGAAGCAGTGCGACACAGAGGTCGACTGCTACAACAAGAGGTGACGGCGTCGAGGGAGTTGCAGTTGAAGAGGTGCGAATCTAACGATACAGAGGTCGTAGGTTGGCAGGCTGCAACAACAATTGGCGGTCAGTGGCGAAGCAGTGCGACACAGGGGGTCCACTCCAGCAACAACAAGAGGTGACAGCGGCGAGGAAGTTCCAGTTGAAAAGTGGCAACCGCGCATTTACTTACACATAACGATCGTCAAATCGGTGTGAGTATGTGTGTGAACCACTAAGCAGGAGTGTATAAACAAGAGGTGACTGCGTCGAGGGAGTTGCAGTTGAAGAGGTGCGAATCTAACGATACAGAGGTCGTAGGTTGGCAGGCTGCAACAACAATTGGCGGTCAGTGGCGAAGCAGTGCGACACAGGGGGTCCACTCTAGCAACAAGAGGTGACAGCGGCGAGGAAGTTCCAGTTGAAAAGTGGCAACCGCGCATTTACTTACACATAACGATCGTCAAATCGGTGTGAGTATGTGTGTGAACCACTAAGCAGGAGTGTATAAACAAGAGGTGACTGCGTCGAGGGAGTTGCAGTTGAAGAGGTGCGAATCTAACGATACAGAGGTCGTAGGTTGGCAGGCTGCAACAACAATTGGCGGTCAGTGGCGAAGCAGTGCGACACAGGGGGTCCACTCTAGCAACAAGAGGTGACAGCGGCGAGGAAGTTCCAGTTGAAAAGTGGCAACCGCGCATTTACTTACACATAACGATCGTCAAATCGGTGTGAGTATGTGTGTGAACCACTAAGCAGGAGTGTATAAACAAGAGGTGACAGCGGCGAAGGAGTTGCAGTTGAAGAGGTGAAAATCTAACGACACAGAGGTCGTGGATTGGCAGGCTGCAACAACAATTGTCGGTCAATGGCGAAGCAGTGCGACACAGGGGGTCCACTCTAGCAACAAGAGGTGACGGCGTCGAGGGAGTTGCAGTTGAAGAGCGTCAAATCTAGCGACACAGAGGTCGTAGATTGGCAGGCTGCAACAACAATTGTCGGTCGGTGGCGAAGCAGTGCGATACAGGGATCCACTCCAGCAACAACGAGAAGTGCCAGCGGCGAGGGAGTTGCAGTTGAAGAGCGTCAAATCTAGCGACACAGAGGTCCTAGATTGGCAGGCTGCAACAACAATTGTCAGTCAGTGGCGAAGCAGTGCGACACAGAGGTCCACTCCAGCAACAACAAGAAGTGACGGCGTCGAGGGAGTTGCAGTTGAAGAGCGCCAAATCTAGCGACACAGAGGTCGTGGATTGGCAGGCTGCAACAACAAGTGGCGGTCAGTGGCGAAGCAGTGCGACACAGGGGGTCCACTCTAGCAACGAGAAGTTACAGCGGCGAGGGAGTTGCAGCTGAAGAGCGCCAAATCTAGCGACACAGAGGTCGTAGATCGGCAGGCTGCAACAACAATTGTCGGTCAGTGGCGAAGCAGTGCGACATAGAGGTCCACTCCAGCAACAACGACTGCCGGAGGGTGGTAAAGCAGTGTATTCAGGAAGTCTTCGAGGGAGTTGCAGTTGAAGGGCGCCAATCCTGTGCGACAAGGAGGTCGTACATTGGCAAGCTGCAACAACAACAACGGCCAGAGAGTCGTAAAGCAGTGCGACACAGAGGTCGTTTGCTACCACAAGGAGAGACATCGTCGAGGGAGTTGCAGTCGAGGAACGCCAATTCTGGGCAACACGAGGTTGTAGAATGGCAGACTGCAACAACAACAACAAACTAGCAAGCAGTGCTATCGACAAGGAATCGATTAAGTAGAGCTACGTGAGGTCATGGATGCCAAAACAATATTGTCTTTAAGAGTGGAGGAGTTGCGGCAACACCTAAGAGCTTTAGAGTTAGAGTCCACCGGTAGGAAATCCGTGCTGCAGGATAGGCTATTAGAGCATTACAATCTAGGAGATGTCGAGGAGGATGAAGAAGAGCAAGAGACGCACTCAGTTAAGTCTAGAGAGTATCAAGAAGCAGAGACAGATGGTTTTAAGAGCGCATCAAGATTTACACTCCAAGATGTTCAAGATAGTTTATCACATTTTTCAGGATCAGATCAACCAGATATCAGTCAGTGGGTATCTGAATTTGAAGATTGTGCTGCAACGGTAGGTTGGGATAGCGTACAGAAGTACATCTACGGGAAGCAATTGTTGCAAGGAGCGGCAAAAGTGTTTGTGAGAGGTCTAACAGGCGTAAGAGGATGGGAACAATTGAAGGCAAAGCTGCGAGCCGAGTTTGGCAAAACAATGTGTGCAGCTGAAGTACATAAACAACTGAAGAACAGAGTAAAGCTTGAGAAAGAGTCGTTAAGTGAGTATCTGTATAGTCTGATTGAGATTGGGAAGCAAGTCAGATTAGACAAAGAAAGTCTCATATTGTACTTCGTGGATGGTGTTCCAGATAGCAAATTAAACAAGAGTAACTTGTACCGATGCAGGACGCTTGACGAATTGAAGGCAGAGATAAACATTTACGAAAGGATCAAGGAGAGTACCGAGAGCAGCAGTACAAGAACACCAATTCCCCAGATTAAGAAGAAATGTTTTAAATGTGGCAAGGAAGGACACTTTTCGAAGGAATGTAATGAGGCAGTTTTATGCTTTAAATGCAATAAAACTGGTCACATTGCTAAGGATTGCAACCAGGAGAAAACAATCGAAAAGAATGAGAAAGTAGGTGTTTTGAAGTCTAGATCGATATCAAAAGACGGAATCAATACGATCATATGCGTAAATGACGTACAGTTTGTCGCAATGATAGACTCAGGATGCGATCTGAGTTTGATGAGGGAAGATCTAATGGAAAAGCTAAAAGGAGTTAGTCTAAGGTCCTTCCTTCCAAAGAGCTTGCGAGGCATAGGGAATGGAGAAATTAAAACGATCGGACAGTTTGAGACAGTAGTGTCAGCAGGGGATGTTTGCTTTAATGTAACTTTTAATGTGGTCAAACAAAAAGACATTGAGTATGCAGCCATCATTGGGAACGACGTTTTGAAGGAAGTAGATATCATTTTTAGTTCAGGTGGCGTACAGTTCAGGAAAAAAGAAGGATCAGAGATATTTGAAGGATTGTGCGTGAACGAAATGATCACTGAACCTAGAACCTCAGAGGAAGTGCAGTTAAATCATCCTAGTAAGGATTTGAGAGGTGAGGTTGAACAGTTCAAAGACAGCTACGAAGCAGAGAAAGAAATTGTGTCGCCACTGAAAATGGAAATTGTGCTTGAAGACGATTTTCCTGTTTATCAGTCCCCACGTAGAGAAGAAGAAATCATATCACTCAGTAGTTCTCCATATGCAGCACCAGTAGTTCGAGTTGGTAAGAAAGATGGTTCGAAGAGACTTCGTTGTGATTTCAGGATAGAAAAGAAGTCTATTTCTCCCTCGAATGAAAAAATTGAGACGGTGTTACAGTTTCCGATTCCAAAAGCGAAGAGGCGTAAAAGAGGAAGATTGAAAAGGAAATCATGGACGATACGAGGTAGAGGTTGCCAAGAAGGTCCCAATCACACGTTTACAGCAGCAGAGTTTATGAAAATGGGTTTAGTTCGGGGCGAACTAAGATTCAGGATGGCCGAATGTAGGATTGGTATAGGATAGTAGGATATCCCTACTGTGTGTAAGTTAAGGATCTAGTATTAAGCATAAAGTATTTAGTATTTAAGCATTAATGTTAAGGATGTTAAGCTTTGAGGAATACGACCACACTCGAGAATAAGTTACAGAACCGACAAGTTGAAGCTAAGCGAAAGAGTGTAAAAGAAGTTGAAGAAATATAAAGAGGAAAACGCGAAGTGATCTGCAAATTAATAAAAGCATTAAGAAGATTCTGGAAGTTCTATTAAATAAACATTTGTGGGTGGCTTTTATAAGTTATACCCTACATATATGAAAAGATAGGTAATTTTTTCTAGTTTTAGAATACATTTTCAAAAAAAAAAATTTTCGGACTCCGTCGGTCCTGTAGAGGATCTCCCGAGGGTCCACTTCAAAAAAGGGTTTTGCGGTGAGGAAAATATCTCCAGTCCAAATGATCAGAAATACAAAAAACCAGAAGGATTACGTAAAGAATAGACAAATGCTGGTAATGAGACTTGGGATTTTCAAAATTTTGATTTTTGACAAAATGGCGGCTTCCCAAACATAAAACTTTGTTTTTGGCACAAAAATTTCAACTTTGAAGTGGCTAAAAAAATCGAAATTTTTGTCAAAGCCAAAATTCCAAGTCTCATTACCTGAAAAAAATATCTAAGAAGAGAATGTGAAAGTTTCAAGTCAATCGGTCAAGCCGTCTCTGAGAAATTTTCCTCAACGACTTTGAAGACATCGTTTCGAGAAAAACGCATTTAAAGTTTTGGCTACTAGTTGAACTACATGGGAGACGTCTTTATAAATACACTGATTACTCCAATACTATTTACCGGAATACTTTGAAATTTTCAGATAATCTTCTTAGATATATATACATTCAAAATAGGCAAAAAAAAATTTCGATTTTTTCAAAATCGCAACTGGATATAACCCCTTAAGGCTAACGAAGAAATTGATTTAACTTTACGTTAAAATTAGTTTTTTTTTTGAGTTTTTAAAGTCTGAAAACGATGTTTTTTATATATAGAAAATTTGGTATATACATACAGTAGAATCCGCTTATAGCGACTTTCAAGGGACCGACGATTTTTCGTCGTTATACCCGGAAGACGCACTAAGCAGAAGGATTTAAGTGTATAAGTCTGTCTGGGGACCAATCAAGCCATCGAGTTTTCGTCGCAATACCCGGACGGACACTATAAGCAGAGTCGTTATAACAGGGTTCTACTGTATTTGGGTTTTTGGCCAGTGAAAACCCTAATGCCAAACATTTCAATATAAGGATTGAAAATAGCCAGTCATTTGAAATAATTTGTCGACTTGTTCCACAAATTTTCGTTGTTTCATAAGAGCGTTCTTTTCATTTTGCATTATCAGCAAAACTTGCCCACGCCATCGAGATAAGCTTTTTATATTGTTTGCACCCATAGAGAAAGAAGATGCATATAGGCAATAAACAAATTTGGCAGCAAAAACTTTTTTGTTAGATAAAAGGCGTGAAGATTGACAATCTTGAGAGTCAGAGGAAGGCATAAACTATTCGATATTCGCTTTGCAATAAGCTTTATTGAAATCAATTAGTTTTGTATTGGAAAAAATAAAAGTGTTTTAGAAAGAAAGTGAAAACCAAGGTGCTTGACAACGTTAAATGGTTACGCACTTTTTTAAGGAAAAGTATTGTTCTAGTATAGCAGTTTGGTGTGTTTTTCTCTAGAGAATTTGATCAGTTAGTCAGAAGCTAGCCACAAGCCTTAACCACATTCCCATTATGCTCCACATGCTCGTGCTATTCACCTACCTCATTCTCGTTGCAAACTATATAATCGTTTACAAGCCACAAAATCCATTAGAAGCCTTGATTAATAATGCAGTTGACCGGCCATGCAACAACATTCGTTTCTAGTTTGGGACGAACCTACAAACATAAACTGGCAAAAAGCAGGCCTGCAGTTGATAAAACGAATCTGAAAGGGTTGTGCGGTGCAGGTCCTCTCAAGGCTTGTGTTTTTTTTTAAATGCAACCATGTCAATATATATAGTATGTTACGTGTACGCCGTTCTGACAAGAATTTCTGCGCGGACTGATTGAATTTTTAATGCGGCAAGAAACAAGAACAACTGTTTTGTATTTTTTTAGGTCATTGTTATTTGTTGTTACTTTAAATCAGACATAAAACTGAAAAGGGATCTCAATTAAAAAATACTAATATCAATCGAACAATAAAAGTTCTCGCAAGTATTTAAACAATTAAGGCGAGGTCTTTAAAAATAAAGGCATCTCTAGCGTTGCCAGTGGAAGAGCACGGGTTTTACTACTACTTTTAGAATTGCCACGGGCAAATACAAAAGAGGGAAATGTCTGGAGAAGAATGCAGATACCGAGTGCCTGAAACTCGCCTGCAAATAGTTTTCTGTGGAGCACTTTACATTTACCGAGCTGGGGCATTGCCTCAAGTGCAAATGTTCCACGAAAAGGTTGGGCTTCTGGCGCAACGACGACTACGAGAACACTCGGTAGCTGTAGCCAACCCTTGCCAACACCAGCAGTCCAAAACCAAAACCACAACCCCACCCAGCCAGTCAGTCCACTTGCCCCACCGAAAACCACCCAAACAATGGCAACCATTTTGATGTTGCCCTGAAACATTTCCACTTCTCGCTGGCTCTCTTGCTTGCCTGTTGAAGCCTTTGGAATGTGTCTACCGTTTGGGGGGGAATACACTCGGAAAAAAACATCTTTACACTATAAAATTCATTGAATATGCCATTTTTTTTAACAAAACAATACCCTTTTACCATAATAATAATAAATCTCAAAAAAATAAGCTTTTAAATAGTTCATTAATTGTGCACATTTTCGATTCGATTTGCTGTATATCCTAACATGTATATTGTATATTTTGAGTGCACAAATTTGGGCGTGTCCTCTTGAACTGCGAAACAAAAATGTCTAAGCCTTTCACTAGGCCGAGCTAATGGAGCCAGGAAATGGCGCAAAGAACAACAGCAACGAGAACCAACTGCACACACTACGACAAAATCCATTAACCAACATAAAGTGCCCGACATCTGGGCAAAGACGAGTACGGATAAGGGCCTGTTCAACAAAGAGAGTACGAGAACCAAACGAAAAGTATTTTTGGTAAAATTCAGTTTGCATTAGGAGCATTTGTGAACCACAATGTGCAAAAGCAGACAGGTTCGAAGACCCGAATAAATCGCTTGTATAAAAAAAACCAAATGGACATTCGACTGCCTCGACTCTCACTTACCCGTTACTCTAAAAACCAATTTCCACGGAAATAGAAAATTGAACAAGGATAAGAACGAAATACATGGAAATTTTGAGATGTTAACGATATAGGATAAAACAAATAAATAAACGTTATATAACTTATTTCTTCTGTTATTATAAAAAAGTATTAATTGTTTTATGATAATTAAAAGTTTGAATATTCATTCAAATAAACAATGATTTTTTACCTTTGTATGCTTGTGGTCGCTACTCACAGCTGGTCACAATTAGAAATGCCCTTTGCATTGGTACACAAAATAGATATTGGCAATGCGAAGATTATACATATAGTATTCGATTTTAAAATAGGATGTACAGAAGTGAAGTACACGAAACGAACTTATTAACACACCAAGTGATTTTATTCGTCAGATTTTTTATAAAACTAATTTCGAAATTCAAGAGTCATTAGAAAACTTTATATTCCAAAAACTATGCTTGTCTGAGAAAAACAACGATTTTTTTCCATTCATTTCCGTTTATTTTATATAGATTTCTCGATCTATTTGATGTAGTTATCCGTTTTTGGTAAAATTTAATTCAAAAGTTAGAAAATACTATCTATCAAGTCGATATGACCAAAAACAACGGCGTGAGAATTTTTTTTTTTAGTCTCTCCAATGGAATCTATCCGATATAGTCGGCCGATCCATCCCGTTCCGACTTATACACTGCGTGCAATAACTGCACAACTTTTGGTAAAGTTCGATTCAGATCGTGATGCTGATCAGAATAAATATATTTCATGGGGTCTGAGGTGTCTCCTTCATTGCGTTGCAAACTTCTGACTGAAATTATAATACTCTTTGCAAGGGTATAAAAACTACCCCTCAAAAAAATCTATGCCCAACTTTTAAAGAGATAACATAAAGTAAGGGAAAGAAAGACAGATTTCTGGACCGTAGAACGGATGTACTGCATCTGCAACCATTCTCTTCTCGTTTTCCCTGTTGAATTCGGCTTGTTTGCCTCGGAAAAACAGCAAAAGAGTTTTTTCTTTTTTTGGCCTCGTGCCAAACAACCCGGGCGCCACGCCCACCGTAAACCTTAGGCCTTTTGTCGCATAAATACCAGTCTTCATCCTTCTCCTTTTTTCCTGCCATTTTCCGAGTTCTTTCGAGTCCACATTTAATTAAAAGTAGCTTCTCTCATATATTTCACCCATTTGCACTTTAAGTCTTTTGTTGTAAGAAAGTTGAGTAAATGTAGAGATGCACTTATTCAATTTTTTATTAACAGATTTATTTCGCTTCGACAGGACCAGGGCTTTAAACATTAAATGTTATTGTATTTCGGGGAACTTGGTGTATCTTATGAACTATGAATTGTAATATTTTTAACCCTTATAGAAATATTACTGTTATAATTAAGCCTTAAGATCGCGATTTTAGGCACTGTTCTACTTGTAAATGCTTCCTATTACTCGACTTCTAATCGGGTAAACAAATAACGCATTTTTTTGTAATTTTGCAAAAGAGTTCAACTTTTTTGAAAATATACCCAAGAGCAGATGCTCTTTCTTAACGTTTATTGTACACAAAACTCACCTGCACTTGAAACATGGTGATCGAATCGTCCAGCATCTGGATGCGAACCGTTAGTTTCTTCCCACCCCGGTGGCGGGGGGTCGAGGGCGTGCCATCCACCCCGGAGGGAGTGCTGAGGGAGTGGGTCATGCGACCCCCGGGCAGACCACCGCCAGCAGGATGACCTCCGCCTGCGGCCAGATCGTAGTGCCTTCCCCCTCCTCCGCCGCCGGCGGATCGGGAGGCTGTGCCCATGTCGGCCAGGGACATTTTGTAGACGAGAATCTTGGTTACCGCTGGGTGGGGACTAGCACAGGATGTGGCATAGAGTGAGCCGGAAAAGTTTCCAGTTCCTGTCTTGTGGCTCTGCTTGCGTTAAATGCTTTAATTTGGAATGGTACTGGGTTCGTCGTTTGTCTTCTTAATTGAATTGCTCAGCTGGCTCTGTTTATTTCTTTTATTGTCTGTGCGAGTGTCTAATTCAATTTCTATTCGCTGCCAGCAAAGAACAATAACCAAAAATTGGAAGCTGCAACTCCACACACGTACGTTCGTACATATGTTTCACATTTGCCTCTTGAGTTCCTAAGTCCGATCTCGAACGCTTCTGGCATATTTCTATTCTATTGGGTTAGATGAATTTGCTCGTTTGAAATTTTCTGGCGCATTAAATTTTACAGCACGCATGTGTGGCACTTGGTTTCCTCATCGAAGTTCCTCCGGATTTGGCATCGTTTTCCTACAAAGATTACAAGAAAAGCATCATGTTAGACATAAACTTAATTGATCACAGTATTAATGTTTGGCAACAACATCGAGAGTCTCAAAAAACCACTTCTTCAATTTTAAAAATCATTTTTAAGAACTAGTATTCCAAATTATGTAGCACATAAGTTATTTTAAGAGTATTCCAGGGCGTTATGCTGTTGAAACCCCACCTACATTCAATTTTCCCAATAGTGTAATTAAACAAACATATAAAAAATTTAGAGCTTTCAAAATCGACTTAAAAATAAGTACTCATTGAAAAGCGTAGGCTATGCCCCTAAAATAGCTCTCCAGAAAGATAGTTATCAGACGGTTCCTTAGCCGTGAAATACTAAAAATCTCAATAATTGTGGGCGACAATCACACTTTGTCTCTTAATGATAACTTAAAATTACATAAAACAAAAACCATAAGAGAACTGACTGAATGGAAAATATTTAAAGCTTACAAAAATTCCCCACTCCGAAAATTAAGAAATAGTAGGAAGAGATTACCAAGTCACCTGTAAAAATAAATAAGCTTATCAAAACCGACCCACAAGGCATAAACAAGGGAAATGTTTTTGGTGGAAAGGCGGCAAATCAAATGGGACTACTTTTTCTGCTTCTTGTTTCAAGTTTGACGGGCCCCAAAAAGCCTACGCACGTGGACAGCCCACGGTCGGTCCAAAGACAACAACAACAAGAAAAAAAAGAGTAAAACTCCAAAGCTTCAAGTCATCGGCAACCTACACTGCCCCGCAACTGAATAGGTTCATGATCTCAGAGGAAGTAATTTGTCTATAACTTCTAAACCAGTGTACCGATTTCCAAAATTTTTTTTTCTTTAACTCTTGAATCATTTTATAATAAAATGCTGAAGAAGGTTTTTCAAAAACATATTATTTATTCCTTATTTTATTTATTCTTCTGAAAGGTTAACAAAATGCATGATTTTTTTCGGTCATCTGAATAGGTTCAACCTAAAACAATTAAAATTATTTAAGTAACTAAGGATAATATTCATATTTTTTGAACTTAGCTGATACTTATGAACATTTTTAAAGTACATTTTACTAATTTTAATAAAAAGTGAACCCTCCGTTGTCCGATATAACATCATATACACGACCGGGAAGCGAGCTATACGAATTGTGCAGTATTTGCAGTGAAATTGTTGTCCAGGCTATTTTAATTGCCTTAACTAAAGTTTTTTTGCAATAAAATTACCTGCCTCCTTCATATATCTTGCGCGATAGCAACCCCCATACGATTTCGATTATATTAAGGTCAGGTGAATATGGGGGCCATTCAAGTAAATCCACATTTTGAGCCTTAATCCACTCTTTTACCACCCTAGCTGAATGATGGGAGCGTTATCGTACTGGTAAGACCATTTGATAAAGTGAAAAGTACTTAAATAATCAGGATTATGATAGATTTGTAGGTTTCCGCGCTCGTTTTGCAAGTAACAAATTAAAGGTCGCAAGTGCCAAAGACTGATACCGACCCCCACACCATTACCCCACCCTCACAGCTATGACAACGGCTAAGGAAATGCTCTTCCTTTCGAAGATCGTGATAATAATAGTTGTAGCTATTGATTTACGCTTCTAAATTAAATTGATTTAGGTGTGGGGGTCGGTATCAGTCTTTGGCACTTGCGACCTTTAATTTGTTACTTGCAAAACGAGCGCGGAAACCTACAAATCTATCATAATCCTGATTATTTAAGTACTTTTCACTTTATCAAATGGTCTTACCAGTACGATAACGCTCCCATCATACAGCTAGGGTGGTAAAAGAGTGGATTAAGGCTCAAAATGTGGATTTACTTGAATGGCCCCCATATTCACCTGACCTTAATATAATCGAAATCGTATGGGGGTTGCTATCGCGCAAGATATATGAAGGAGGCAGGTAATTTTATTGCAAAAAAACTTTAGTTAAGGCAATTAAAATAGCCTGGACAACAATTTCACTGCAAATACTGCACAATTCGTATAGCTCGCTTCCCGGTCGTGTATATGATGTTATATCGGACAACGGAGGGTTCACTTTTTATTAAAATTAGTAAAATGTACTTTAAAAATGTTCATAAGTATCAGCTAAGTTCAAAAATATGAATATTATCCTTAGTTACTTAAATAATTTTAATTGTTTTAGGTTGAACCTATTCAGATGACCGAAAAAAAATCATGCATTTTGTTAACCTTTCAGAAGAATAAATAAAATAAGGAATAAATAATATGTTTTTGAAAAACCTTCTTCAGCATTTTATTATAAAATGATTCAAGAGTTAAAGAAAAAAAAAATTTTGGAAATCGGTACACTGGTTTAGAAGTTATAGACAAATTACTTCCTCTGAGATCATGAACCTATTCAGTTGCGGGGCAGTGTACATAAAAACACATTGACGGAGCGGGAAAGAAGTTTGGCGCCAATTATACCGTGGGCGGGCCATAGAAGATAGGCAGAAATAATAATAATAAAATGTGGAAAAATTATGAAGAAACCGCCGTTCGCCAAGAAGCATTTATTTATGCCTCGACTCGTAAATTTGAATGCGAACGTGGAACGTGGCCGGCTGGTTGTCAATTTGCAAGATACAGGATGCCAGCCCCATCCATAAGGTTGAATGGGGCGTGAAATGTGTGAATTTACGAGGCGATACGAGTCCCTTACATATTATATATGTATAGTCAGGTTGAAAGAGGCACTATTAAGCATGTGTTGGTATGATAACCAAACTCGACTGCGTTCATTGAACCGCAGACTTTTCGAGCAGCCATTCATGGGTTCGGGTCTACTGCTGCTGCGATAACCAAACTCTATCTATTGGGACACAAGAAACTCTTTCTCACAGATTTACATACCATGTCTATGTGAACTTAAAAAGATGATCTTGCTCTTTCTTTGGGTCCTCAGTTCGCAACAGTTACGTTATGTCATAAATAAGACAAACGATGCTAATAAAGTACATTGCGAGTTCATGCTCAGAAAACAAATGTAAATTATTGTTTACCATTTGTCTATGCTATTTGTGAGATCGCAATTAAAGTAAGCTGGAATCCAAGCATATTACAGTTCTTAAGCAAGTACTTTTGTTCTTTCTTTTTTTCAGATATCCAATTGGCTGTCAATTTAGCCAGCCCCACTTAATGTGATCCTTAATCAAAGAACACCTAAAGCGGACATCACTCGAACGACATATAAAAATGGTCTGCGCATCTTGGCGACTTATGGGACTGGTCCTGGGAGAGACAACTTATAACTGAAAATCGCAAAATGGAGTTGAAATACAGCTAGGTGAGACGAGTTTGGCTTTGGCCAAGTAACCTCCAATTTATGCCACAAGAACGAGGCCTTATTGGCTGCATAGCTCTGCGCATTCCTTGGCTCGAATTGGCGAATGATGTGCCCCATCTGCTGTAAATCTCTCCGAGTTAATCACTGGCAGCCAAAGTTGGGCTCTGAAGAGTTTGTCGTTTGTCAAGCAAAGTTTAACAAGTTTCTAAGTACAGGAGATGGAAGATTCTGTCTCCTGTTTCTATATACTGCGTTCTGCGAGTGTGTGTGACCCAGAAAGTTATGCGAGCTGGTAACCCATCAAAGTTTTATGACTTTTATGTGCTGTCGAGTGACATAAATTCATGGTTTATTAATTAAGTTTCGTTTGCCATTCTAGGTGTGTTGGAGAAGGTAGAGCGTGGGGCGTGGTCCCTTGCTAAATATTTAAAGGAAGGGGATCTTTTCAGAAATGTATCCGAACGTACAGAATAATATAAAGGGCCAACGTTTCTATTCTTGGGAGTAATAAGCTGTTTTACGTCAAGTGGTTAATTTAAGAAATTTATTTGGCTATAAGTTGAAATGCACCTAACTATGTCATGGTTGCTAATAAAGAAACCGTCTTTTCAGTTCACTTTAAACCCTTTTCGTTAAATTGATCTCATCTCTTCTTTTATATCAGCTATGTCAACTTTCAATTTAGGCAATTGAAATCTTCTACTCAATTTGATTGAACTGTTTGGTGGGCATGTACCTCAAATGCATCCAATTAAAATGTATTTTCAGTATCTTTCACTCGCGAAGGAAAAGATGAATCATGTGGAGATTTCCTCGAAAAATAAGGCAGGCAAACGAGGAGAAGTCCAAAGCCCGAAGAACAACAATTACAGCTGTGTGTTTGTATAGTGGCGAAGAAAGAAAAATTAAAACTTCGACGAAAAAATCTTTTTTACATCCCACATGGGATGTACATGGCTTCCTTCCATCTCCCTTGCACCTCTTGCATTTTTTCACATTTTCCAATGGGTTAAAAATAAAATGCACACACAGAATTGATGTGCGAGTACGTGAGTATAAAAGGATGCACTCCGCTTGTCTGTCAGTCAGGCGGATTTTGTTGTATGTAGTTGCTGCTGATGGCAGGCAGCAAGTCAGTGCGTTTCAAAGTCAACTCTTTTTAGGCGTCGGCACAGCCTTTAGTGCAGTTCATTAAAATATTTATTTAAAGTCCCCCACCTCACGCATATCCAACGACCACAGCCAGTTGCTCTTTTATATGACTCGGCGCTTTGTTTACTTCACTGTATACAGCCTTACTTTATGGCACACACACTTGGGGGCATATAAATACAGAGGGACATGTGTGTGGCAAAATTTTGCCTGAGCCCGCCCTTCGTCGTCTGGCTTTTATACTTGTCAGCGAATAATATTCCTTAGAATCATCAGAATCCCTTAATTGCAATCTGCTTACCATTAATACCGTTGTTCGAGATAACTCACTCCAAGAACCTTACTGTATTACAGTCGAGTCCCCATAATTCGAAATGGCAAGGGGATCACTTTTTTTACGAATTAGACGGGAATTCGATTTATCGAAATTTTTTTCAAGGGATTTTTTTTCAAGGGAACAGAATTTTTTACGAATTATCGCGATTTTCGTTTTAGCGGGGTACGAATTATCGGGATTCGACTGTAATT